CCAGCAGGGCCAGAGGGAGAAGAGCCGGCAGGGCCAGAAGAGGTAGGGTGAGCTCCCTCAGACGCGGTAACAGGGCAGATGGTGGTGTACAGAGCAATGGTGTCGGTCACAGTCTTGGGGCGCGTAGGGCAGTTGGTAACCTCAGGAGGGCACTGAGTAATAGTGCGGACAGAGGTGGTGAAAACAGTGGATGTGCTGAACTGAGGAACACCAGTGGTAACGGGAGAAGCACTACCAGTGGTAACAGGAGCAGTCTCAGTAACAGCAGGTCCAGTCTCGGTGCCAACGGGAATGCTCTCAGTGCCAACAGGGACGGAAGCAGGGCCAGTAGGAACAGAAACAGCAGGGCCAGTCTCAGTGCCGACGGGGACGCTGTAAGGAACGGAAGCAGGGCCAGTAGGAACAGAGACGGCAGGACCAGTCTCGGTGCCAACGGGGATGCTCTCAGTGCCTACAGGGACGCTGTGAGGAACGGAAGCCGGGCCAGTGGCGGGGCCGGTAGGAACAGAGACGGCGGGGCCGGTGGTAACGGGGAGCTCGCTACCGGTGGTCTGGGCAGGACCGGTAGGGACAGAGACGGCAGGGCCGGTCTCAGTACCAACGGGAACGCTGTAAGGAGGAACACCGCCAGGGCCGGTAGGAACAGAGACGGCAGGACCAGTCTCGGTGCCAACGGGGACGCTGTAAGGAGGAACGCCACCAGGACCAGTAGGCTGGCCAGGGTGGTTCTGGGTAGAGCTCTCATCGCAATCCTCGGACTTGCTGGGGCGAGGGTGGCCGCCGTTGCCTCCAGCAGGAGGAGTAGGGCGTCCAGCGGGAGTTGTCACTGGGTGGCCAGGGAAGTTCTGGGTCTTGGTCTCGTCGCAGTCCTCAGAAGACTGGCCTGGGGGAGGGTAGCCACCGTTGCCTCCAGAGGGAGGAGTAGGGCGTCCAGCGGGAGTCGTCACCGGGTGGCCGGGCCTACCGGGGGTCTTGGTGGGCTCGTCGCAGTCCTCGTCGCCAGGAAGACCGGCGGCAGTGGTAGGGACGGCGGGCAGAGAAGTAGGAGCGGCAGCACCGCCGGTGTGGGTAGCAGTGTAAGTGATGCATGAGCAGGCAGAGCTGAAAGCATTGTAGTCGGGGCAGTTGGAGTAGTCGGTGGGAATAGCCGCGTTGGCTGTAGTGGTACCGGCGAGCCAGCTAAAGCAAGCAGGAGTAGCCTCAGCGCTGAAGCGCTCATCGATCAGGTTGCGGTAGCAGTTGTTCTGCTCGCACTCGGGGAATTTCGTGGCATTGGCCGCGCCAATGGCGATGGCGCCAACAACTAAGGCACCCTTCATGATTAACACAAAAACAAGAAAGCCTCTTTTGAAATGTCTACCTGAGGGTATAAACGAATGAACCACTCAGGAAAGAGGAAAAGAAAGTAATCCAGCAAAAGAATGTGTTGGGATAAGGAAGGAAAGAGGGTTCCAAATCCGGGGACTCTGGGACGGATGGCAGCCTTATATGTTTGCAAGCTTGCAATCTTCCACTCTTTCCAAAGAAAGGAAGAGCCTGGCTGGACCAAGGAGTGCCCATAGTGCTAGGCCCGGAATACGAAAATAACCCTGCACGGGTGGTCCAGGTGGTGAAGCCGAAGACGCTGTGCTGCGTGCATGATTTGAGAGGAGGATCCAGGATCCATCTCCTTTGAGGTGCAGCCGCAGCCGCCGCCACCAACAGGGCGGTACATCAGCACAGGTGAAATGGTACCGGTACATGGCACGGCAGCGTCTGCATACTGTGGTGTGGTGGCGCGCGAAGACCCGGCTGTGGAGCCGCTGGTGTGGTGCCAAACTGGGATGACAAGGGGAGAGGGCCAAAAAAGCACCGCCAGCACTCTGAACAGAGTACAGTACGAGCACACTCGAAGCGCAGAAGCGTGCTTCTCCACTCGGCGCGCCCCTGACTAGGTCTTTAGCGCAGCAGCGTTTCCGCCAACGCAAGTGCAGGGAGGGCCTTGCCAGCGTCTCGCGGCCCATTGACGACCAGCACCTATCACTCGGAATGGGGGCTTGTTGACCAATCCTTTTCGCAACTTGACCACTTCTCGGTTGTGTCGACAAGGCATCTTTCGCCGTTGCTTGCCCGTCCACTTGCTTTCCTTTTGCCCTCGTCGTTTGTTTCTTCGTTTCCCGCAATCTCAACCAATCTTTTTTGGGCATTGGGCAGCCATGTTTAGCCGTGCTTGCCCTGTCTTTGCCCCCATCTTCCTCGCGGGGGAGTCTCTGGAAACAAGCACTCATCCATCGCAATCTCTGTCAGGACAAAACACCCCAGTTTAGTTAATACGGGGAAACGTGTCACTGTAGTATTTTGTTCATAGTGCAGTTGTATCTGTGCTTGTAACGCTCGTAAGGAGTATAATACTCCGTACTACTAACACCCCATAGTATTAGTAGTAGCAGATAACCGTAGAATTTCCTTGGAAATTGAGTAATACATACTAGGTATTCGCACTTGTATCAAGGGACAAACGGTATTTTCCTTGTATTTTTCTCCGAGCGTCCCATGTTCCACAATTTGGATGGCCCCTATGTGTAAAAGTGCGCCGATACAGTTTCCATATTGGGCAGCAGTAACAATACGGAGTTGCACTTTGCAAAATTGCTATCAATAGCAGCCATACGCTCGTATACCTGCAGTATCGGAGCCAAGGTAACATGTCATATTGTGCTGCATATCGCCTATTGCCGTCTAAGAGTCAACAGGCCACCGGAAATGACCAACAAGGTGGCAAGCCTAACTCTCTCTCTTCTTCTAGACTCATTGGCGAGATTCGGAGTCCCGCCATATCGGTGATCCGAAATTAGAAATCATGCAGAGCCCTGCTTCTTACACGGCTCGGCGGCAGATGCGGTCTTACATAATCCAGTTCACCTATGAATGTAGTTGGTTTTGTGCTTTGCACGAGTTGAAGGCATACACGCTCCGTACATAGAAGGAGACAGAGATGGGAGACATGCAGCTTCCTAACAGCATCGATAACAGGCATGTAAGCGCCCGTTGTCTCAATTACCTACTCAGCGAGGGGCCATTACTGCGTGTCTTAGTGAAGGCGTCATAGTCGACCTCGCAGCCGTTTGATAGATTAACGCCATTATCATTCCTCCATCTTCACGTAGGGAGAATGACGATGTCTAACATAATAGCGTGAGTTAGCTGCAATGCTGTGATGTGGCGTCTGTGCTCCGCTCAAAACGGTCGTGACTTGGGCCTTCTTGCGCGTACGAGTAAAGTACTCGGGAGCTTGTAGGCAAAAAAAGGCCGCGTTACTATCCGTATTTTCGCTGCTTGCGTATCTGCATGTCATTTCGTTCAGGTGGACAGAGTAGCGGCAGTTGTTTCCGTCCACTCAGACCTGCAGCGGCGGCAAAGACACGGCAAGCTCTCCAGATCCCTCACCACCTTCACCTGTTGTTTCTATTCTTGAGCACGATCGTCCCCCCACCACACTCAGTTCACTTCGGGCTGGCGGGGAACCGTGACGTTGCAAGCGCTCTCTCACTGCTGCTGCCGCTGTGCTTGTACTCTTGAGAGTGCTGGGCAGTGCCAATACGATGCAGCTTGCATGTGCGAATGCGCGTTGCATCACCGGAAAATGCACTGGATGGGGGCAGGCCGCCAAGGCGCAAAGATTGCTCTCAGCGTGTGCTGCGCGAAATGATTGGCTGTGGTTCGTCCGTGAGCCGTGGCGGTTTGTGCGCTGGAGCCGGGCAGTACTTTCGGCAGCTCGTGCGGCGTGTCTCTTTGGCCAGTCAAATTGGCAGGGGCCGCAGCTGCTGATGGGCTGTGCTGATCTGTTTGGCATTAAGCAAGGGTGGGGGAGTCGAGTCGAGGAGGGATGATGCCGGCTGGAGGACAAGACGATGACGCCGACGACATCGACGATGGATGAGGATGAAGATGGAAGTGGAAGGGCGAAGAATGCGCGAGCGGATTCGACACCGAGCACCCAGTACCTGCTTCATGCTGTCTCTGATTCCCAGCACAGGAGACCGCAGGAAGCTGCGATGCAATTGCAGCGACTGGGCAGAGAGGCTCTCATGCACCAGACACGACTGCCTAGCGCGAGGTTTTGGCAGATCCAAGCAGCTAAAAAAAGCCAATCTACCTCACACAACCGCACCAAGTAGCTCCAAGGTCCGGCCGCTGCTCTGTAATACCCTCATCTCTCTCCCTGCTACTCCGAGCATCGATCGCGCATCGCCTTTTCCGTCGGTACGATCGCTACGATCCAGCCAAGTTATTCCCGCCTTCCAAGGCTTGGTCTTCCACGTCCGCGGCTGGGAGTGGGACGCCGATCTCGAAAATTTCATGCCTGCCGAGTCGCACAATCCGCACACAGGACGGAGAGGGACTGGGTTTGGGCTTGGCTTCACCAGATGCGAATTTTCGTGCTGTGCGCCCCCAGGTGGATCTCATGGGCCGCATAGCATCATAGAGGAGGCCTCGCCTTTGAGCCATTTTGTCCACCAGCTAGTCGAGGCTTGCCAAAACCTGTTATCCTTGGCGCTGGATGAAGTACTGTAGGCTTGCGTAGGTAGTTGAACCCTCCTCTTTGCTGATTGATTGTGTCGTTCGATTATCAGCGTGTGCCCCGATGACAGCACAGCACTCCTAGGGCCATTTTCCAATTTTATTTTTCATCTTCCCGCGTGGTCTGGATACGAGGCCCAGCTCCATATTGCACTGCAGCCACCAACGCTTCATGCAGCTGAGCCATCCAGTAATATTCGTTAGATCTGCCATCCTCTGCTGCTGTGTTGTAGCTGAATTAGATGGGCTACTGCAGCTGTAGTTGCGTATGTGTGAGCGAATGCTGGATGCCTCAATTCCCACCGCAGCCATCGATCCATACAGGGTAGTTCCTAGAAGCAGGAATCCCAAAGGCCGTAGTACGGAGCACAAAGACACGAGATCCACTGCCCAGGGCCCGCCATTCCGCATCCCGTATTCATCGACAGGAGGACAAGCTTAGCTGCATCCTAGGCTACCACCAGCGCTGCGGCCTCTGTTTGTACGACGGCTCGCACGAGCGGGTCACTGCTATATGGAAAGCTGGAGGCTCAATGGGTAATAATAGTATCAACGCCTCGTATACACAGTCACAACTCACATGAGCAAGAGGCTTTATATTGCCTGCAAAAAATTAGCATCCGGAACCCATCGTATTAAGCTTATACAACCCTAAAACTTGCCATCATGCATTGAAGACCACTCTCACACGAATATCCGCTTAGAGAGTTATTTTGCCAACTTCCACTAAGACCACCCTCATTCTAGCAATATCCTGCGTGTAAAAGGGTGGTTTGTAGCCCACAGGCTCGGCATTTTCGGGTAGCCACCTTCTCCAGTCATCGTGCCCCATCTTCTACCATACCCAACATCATCGTGATGTTACTTTTTCGGCTCCGGCATAGCCCACCTGTTGTGGCCCGACCGCCAGGCCGTCCCTATGCGTAGAGAGGTGGCGAACGGGGCGATGGAGCGACCGGCTTTGTGGTCTGAGGTCCCCACAGCCAAATGATGCTACTGTCAGTTATCCCGATGAATTCAGCTTTGTGGTTTTCAGGATCATCCTTCAACATGGTGCCCGTACAGTATGTAGAGTACAAGGGACGAAAGAAGCTTAGCCAGAAGTCTAGCTCAAGAGATTTTCTTGTTCTATGACGAGCTGAGTTGCTCATTTCTCTTCATTCTCCGTCTTTGGGTTGAATTTGTTGGCTCAGCAATGACAATTATCGCTGATGGACTCTCGATCGATCTGTCGTTGGGTACAAACGGCCGTGGCCTATCACCATTTGCGGCCAACACGCCAGTTGAGAGACGTTTTTTTGGTCACCTCAGATTCATTCGGCCAATGGGACCCTCAGATGCTTGAATAGTCCGCTAAATGCCCCGTGCCTCTTGGGCAAATTTGGCGACGGTGAGCACAGACACTGCTTGATGCCTGAACTGGAAATCACATTCGTTGCCAACTCATCTCGTTCGTATATACTCTCATTTTTGACGGGGATGCTGCAATGATTGGATTCCAGAGCGAACAAAGGAGCTTCGTGTGACCAACATTGTGCCATGTTGATACAGAGCTTCGCGGACGCTGGCCTCCATGACTTGTATGGGGCTGGCTTCTTTACCTCGATTTGGAGACTGACTGACTGAACAAAGCCTTTCACTTGGCATATTCTATTCTGCCTTTATCTTATGTCAGTTTGATGGACAACGATAGCCTATAGGAATGACCGTATAATGCTCGTGTCTGTCTAGAAAGCCTGCCTAAAGAAGGACTGAATAGTTCTTTCTTCCTTTCTTTTCTTCTTCTTCTCTTATTCATATGTTAAACACATTATAATAGTATCCCTGGAATACCATTGTAAATATCGAATTATCATCCTTTAGCTTGCAAGTATAACCTTGAACGGCTGAAAATGCTCTAATTTTTTTTTTTTTCAAGTTAGCATTGCTATAGAGCCGAGATGCAGAGAAATTGAATACGGCCTGACAGCAACATATAATGCCAATTGGCTTCTTAGTATCTGATTGACAACACTGCTACGGCCGTATACCGCATTGTCATGCGTTTGCTGAGACGCTCTAACTCAAATGAAGCAACAACGAATATATCGAGCTCTAGCTATTGTAAAGAAAAAGAAACTCCATCTGTATACCGATCCCAGGTCTCATATCTCATCCCAATAGCCGTGCTCATATCGAGGAAAAGAAAATAACCAGTCTTGGCGGATGTCATCTCTGAAGTGGCCCTTTTTTTTTAATATTTTTTTTTGACCTTGGCAGCGAGGGAAGCATAATGGAACTGTGGGTATGCGAGCTTGTCCTGAGTTTCCAGAGTCCACTCGTTACTCAAGTGCGTATACGTCAAGTCGCTAGGTCTAGATCTAGCGGCCTACTCAGCCGTAGTTATTGCAACGGCAATTTTCCGGAGAGTAGACTCCAACTGTTCGCTCTCTATGGGATCCAGCTCAAGATTGTCCACGACGCGGATTTCGAGACACTCCACCTCTACCGCCTCTGCCTCAGTAGCAAAAAAGAAGTCTTTCTTCCTATATACATTTATGGGGGATTTGGGGGTCGGAAGGACCTTTGGGATGGCGATTCGCAGGGGGGGTTGTTTAAAGCCGCGCGGCCAGTCTGGCTGCTTGGGTACTTCCAGGTGGAAGAGTGCAACCTCTGTGGGAATATCGCAAGGCGGGTCTAAACGACAGCCCAGAAATGGTTCACCGAGTTTATTTGGCTTCAAGGTCCGCAATGATACACCTTGAGACTTGACCCATTTGGCAATACGTTTGACATGCGCGTTGTCATTTTCGCCGCTGCGTGCTCGAAGTAGAGATGCTACTTCTAGGGCGTCTACCCATCGCTGAGCATCTTCAGGCCCGGAGGGATGCTTTGCCTTTGCTTTATTTGACAATTTATTGATATATGGCATTAAGCCCTTGGCAGCGGCTTCGATATAAATCTCGGATATCAAGGGGGCGAAGTCTTCTGCAATAGCCTCCCTATCGCGGATACCACTCAGCTTGGTCTGAGCTTCTTCTGTAGCACCCTGCGCCTTATTTTCAGCTACTTTAAGGACACCTTGAACTTCTACCGCAATCTTTCGGATGTGAGGCGATGTTTGAGGCTGTTTCGGCAGCTGGAAATAACCCTGGGCAACTGACAGATCTATTTCTACCAAGGTTCCGATATCAGGTAGGACCACTTCGGTGGTCTTCATGTTGACAGCCATCAAGTAGGCTGTAGGAAGCCCTGTAGCGTCTATGCCGTATTCCTGCTTGTCGTTTTCTGCTGCAATCCATTCTGAATCTGGGAAGGGAATCAAGAGGGATCGAAATGGACGGCTTGGGGTATTGTCTTCTTGGCGTTTCTCCCACTTAATTTTGCCAAAGGGACTCTCTTTGAGTCCATCGCCAAAGAAAAGTCGCCAATCACGTCTCCAATCTTGATAGAAAGGGAACGTGATCCAGAATGAAATATGGCTCTCTTGACTCATCGGCGAGAGCATCGATTTAATGCGACTAACGATGCTTCGCGTCGCCGTTGGCTGGCGGTGAACTTGCCGCCAAAATGAGGATGGGTACTCCACGACAAGTTGGTTAGCTTTTGCCTCAGCGGTGATACAGATTATCTGGGTGCCTTCGGGCCGGACGAAAGTGCTACTAGGCGAAGGAGCGCTATTATATTGAGGATCAGGTAGTCCCAATCTTATGAGGTCGAAATCCAAGCCATTCGTAGGATCGATAACAGTACTGGAGCTAATATACGTAGACGGTATGGTGAACAAGGCTTTCATAGTAGCCGTGTTGGCTACTTGAATAAGATCGGCGGACAACGGAACTCTATTTTCGCTAAATGGCAAAGCGATGATCGCAAAAAGATGCCATATCTCTCCACATTTGATTTGTAGCTTCATGAGAAGCAAAGGCGCAGCAGGAGTTCCAGCCCGAGCTAGAATTTCTACTCGAAGTCCAGGAGAGTCGTCTGTTCCCATGGAGCGAATATGCTCGAGATCAAAGCCTGGTAAAATACTGCCGTTGACATGAAGTAGAATATTTTGCCAGTCAGATTCGGCTTGAGAATGGCTTGGCTCTTCATTGAGATTGGGCTGCAAATCTTTATTGGCAACAGCTGTCCCAGTGACAAGGGATTCGCGCTCCATAGCTGCGATGGGAGTAACGATTAATAAAGCGCAATATCTCGTGCGTGAGAATGGCGACAGTTCACAGCATTACTCGTAAAGAGAGGAAGACTAGAAGAAGATGAGATTCTACGGTCCAAGGCTTCGTGTTTCTGGTGTTGCAAAATAAATCTGTACGTGGCTGTCACCTGATTTCAGTTATGAGGTACGGAAGGAGCGGTGCATGCTGTGGCGGCCCAAAAACGACTGCCGGCTGGCGGCCAGCGACGATGAACAGCGTGCAAAGGGCGATACGGCAAACTTGTAAACAGCTGCAGGCCTCTATGCCTGGGCTTGATGCGAGCTATGAGAGCTGGTCGCCATCATTTGCTTACAGGTAAAGATTCTCACGCTTTTCTTGGCATTAGACACACAGAGATGCTCCCCAAAAGCTTCAATGATCCTTTCTGTAGCTACGGGCTTTCCAAATTAATATCTACCTAGCTAGTGGTTGTCAAGTTTGAACAAAATCTACACAAGATGACTATCGATGTAGCGAAAAGACTGCTCTTATAGCAAGTTGGTAGTCATGTCTGAATAAAAAGCAGAGGAACAAATCTGAAATTTGGACTGGAGATCCAATTAGCTCTAAATAATGGACTCCAGTGAAGCACTTGATGTTGAATGGAAAAAAAGTCTGAACTATCTTGCCACAGCATTAGCATGAATTACCAGCGTGGATCGTATTCTTTGTAGGACGATTTCTTTCGGTTGGCGAGAGCGATGCCCTGGAATGCGTGTTCAAAGGCTCAGCGCCGTATCTGAGCTTCTCTTATCATTATCACTACACTTTAATACTAGTGTACAGAGAAGAAGGGGTTAATTTAAATTAGTCGTTAAGTGAATGAGTCTGTATATGGGATAGTCGAGCATAGTGAATGATAGCTAATGACGTACATCCGCATAGCAGTATTGATGCCATCAGAGTATCAGGAACCGATTGTTTGATAATACTTCACGTGGATCTATTCCAAGAAGCAACATAAGAGAATAGAGCTTATAGGTATGCCACATGACAAGTGAAAGACAAGGCAGCGAAGAACCAAGGATAGGCACCTAGTTACAGCAAAGTGAAATCATAGCTTATGCAAGTGAATTGCGCGTTGGCATCTGTTCAAGATCGTCGGGCTATCAATAGTCCACCACCGAATTTTGGTGTAAGAGCCTAAAGCTACATATTATAGGCATAGTGTCAACAAACATGTATCATCGATACAGAAGAACGTCCAAGAAAAAGCGTGTCATGTAACCAGAAAACTCCAGTCTATTAGATAACGCAAGAAGATTGACTATTATACAACCCTTAGCGGGGATGCCGGTGGTCTGCCGATTCTATACTCTACTCCAGGCAATCAAGAGATGTATACCAGCGCCTGTATCTAGGCCCTCTTCATCAACCCGATAAAACAATCGAACAAGAAACCAAATCTCTCTAAGGTCTCGGCGGAAATGGAAACTGTTCCCTTTCTATATGTAACAGGAAAAACTCCCAGCAACCAAAGGAAAGCCCAGCTCTTCTGGGCAGTACCGTATATAGCTGCCCCCTCTTCGAAATCTCAGTCCATTTTCACTCGTCCTTCCAAAGCCCCATTTTTGTCATGAAATCATAAAATATTAAATTTATTTGGCAATCTCAACACCGCCAACGGCGCCGAGAGCCTTCTTCAGGTCACCGTAGATGGCGAACTGACCAGCGGTCAGGGTTCCGACCATGAAGAGACGGGCACCAATACCGGTGTAGGAGCCACGGAGACCGAGCTCCTTGCCGATCTTGATCAGACGAGAGGTAGTGCCCTCACCAGGAAGGCCCTTGGTCTTGTTGATCTTGGAAAGCATGGTGTCGGCAGGCTGGGAAACGATAGCAGCAGCGAAACCAGCAATGAGACCAGAGCCCAGGTTGGCAGTGGTCTGCATGCCGGCGGACAGGTCCTCCTTGGGGAAGGCACGGAAAACGGCCTCAGAGACCTTCTCGAACACGACAAACTTGGCCATGGTGTAAGGGATCCTGGAGATAATGTAAGCGCAATTCCGACATATGAGGAGCTTAATTTGGCTAGGAAACTTACTGCTTGAAGAGGATGGGTCCGAAACCGGCGTAGAAAGCACCGATACCCTCGTTCTTCAGCATCTTGGAGAAACCACCAACAAGACCGTTGGCATAGGTGGGCTCGGAGACGAGACGGATACGGGTAGCCTCAAGAGGGCAGAGAGCAATGTCGGCGAAGAACTCGGCGGCGGCAGAGGAGGCCAGGTAGATGGCAGTGCGGTTGTTGGAGGCAGTCTCAAGGCCGAGCTGGTTGATGAACTGGGCCTTGAAGAACTCGTAACCACCGAACTTGAAAGCACCCTGCAGGAAGTAACCGGCGAAGGTAGGGCCAGCACCAGTCAGGAGAGCGCCAGCACCCTCATTCTGAATAACCTGGCGGAAGCCACCGACGAGGCCGCGGTTGTAGGTAGCGGGGTCGAGCTGGATACGGGTCTTGACGCTGTATTGCAAAAGGAAAACGTGTCAGCCATAAACAGTCCATCTTCACATGCAAGAGAATGGCGGTAACGAAGCCGTCACCGCCAGCCAGCCAAAGGCCAGGGTGATCTGGGCTTCCACCATCCTCAAAGAACAACTCAGGAAGTATCATCAAACATACACATCGACGGGAGTCAAACCACCGTGGGTGACGGAGCAGCAGACGGCACCAGCGAGGGCGAAACGAGAGTAGAGAGAGAATCCCTCGAGCTTCTTGGGCTCGGAAACCTGAACTTGAGCGGCAGCCATTGTGACGAAGGGAGTCGAAGCAGCGAACAAACACTGAGTGGGGAGAAAAGAGAAAGTCTAGGGAGGGTCGAAAGATCCGACGTGGAGAGGTTTGAGGTTTTGTCTGGGGAGCGGTGGTGAAAAGCAGCGGCTTTTGACTGAGGTCTTTTTCGCTGTTCTTCCCTTCTCGCCGGACGCTAGTCTAGGGGCAAGAAAAAAAAAATTGTTGCCAGGGTGGGTTCGGGAACACTCGGGTAATTCGATTGGACGGATCAAAGGGTGGGCACGGGCCATGATGATGTGGCTGCATCAGCCACAGGTCCCAGGGCGATGTCGAAATCGGCCTTTCCGAGATACCGAGATTGGGGTGATGATGAGGCTGAGGAGAGTTTGCATTTTTTATCTAGAATTTTCTGGCCGGTCTGTCCTGCGCATCACTATGTCTATTCTCTCATCTATTAGTATCATGAGTGTCAGTGCCTCTATGTCTCTGATGGCGGTTATCAGCTAGCCATTATTCCAGCAATTTCCTTTCCGTGCGTTGCTTCGGCATCTGCCTATCAATACCTGAGATACTAATCTTTCCCGTGGCTGGTGTCGTGTCTCCCGAGGCTCTCGGAGCCATTCATCTTCCTAGCCTTGTCAACGTGGGGGCCTTTTGATCGGCCCCGCTAATCGCAGCTCGAGGGTATTAAGCATAGATGCATGCAAATAGCCGATATTAATGCAGTAGTGAAGTGCCGACGCAGAGCAAACTTGCACCAAGTAGCAGCGCCCAGTTCGGCCATGCCGGGTTTTGCCGGTAGCCTATAATATAGAAGTCAAAAAGGTGTACTTTGAATATATTATCTTTCATGTATTTTATATTTCTTTTTGTAGGGTCCAAATTAACTTTTTCAGTAGTAAAATTTTGTATGGCGGAGGTACGGTAATGCTGCTTCCGACATTGCATACCCAGAACTCTACCTAACATTCGGACATTCTCGCAAAAGGTCTTCCTTTCACTTACGTTGTTTAGTAACATATTATCTAACAGAGGCGGTATAATTCCCCGGGTTATTATTTTCCGACTTGTGGAGAAGCGAGTGGTTGTATTTCCCCATATCAAGTGGCTAATAGATGCATGTCACTAAGTCTGGTAATTCATGACTATCTATCTTGAACGACAAACGCAGGGATGATATTTAGACTTAGAGTGAGCGGTAATTAGAAATAGTGTCATTCTAATTTTCAAGCATCTTGTTAATCATTATATTGCCCTATCGTCTTCTAAGGGACCTATTCATTTTGGCATGGTTGTTGTAGCATCTGCCGGGTATGTTCCCGGCTACCCTACTGCGTATTATACCGAACTATTTTTAGACTTCGTTAGTACTATCAACCGACCAGCGGAAGAAATCTCTACTGATATCAGCGAATTCTATCTCACGCTGCAGCCGTGCGGTGCTACGCAGGGAAAGTGCTACAAGCAGTGAATATAAGCTGACCGCATGACATTACATGAATCACACATATCGTAGCCATCGGGCTTTCCAAAGCCTAAAGCATAAGTAAATCCATTCATTGGTAAAAATGACGGGAATCATAGGGATGCAATATTTACAAGATGCGCTGTATATAAGGCGAATCGAGGTTATATAACGTGCAAGCTATTTCTCCGTTTGATATAAGGAGTATTTTTTAGGGACATGCATTGTCTTGCACTCCAGCCGCCTCTTCAGCGAGTCATTCTAATCCGATGTGTCTCATTGGCTGCTGCATATATGACGCAGAGTCACGTGGCCTCAATCGGCCCTTTGCTGAGTCGCAAACCAATGCCCTGGATACAGCTGTATGTATATCCAAGTCTTGCATGACTTTGGGCTCGAGATGTATGGGCGTTGGTCCAGGGAATTCCTGCCAAGTAGAGAATAAATATAGGATTATAAGATCGGGAGGCTGAGCAAACTTGCAACGCTCCCAAGATGATTTCGCGGCCTTTGTCGGCAAGCCCCGGCACAAAGTGATTATCAAACGGTTTGCTAAGACTTTGCTCCTTATCAGGACCGGCGTTGGGTCGATCAAGCTTCCATCAACCACGCGGCTGGCCAATTAGCTGGGAGTGAAATTAATTGGATTTATGGTGCGCTCATTGACACCTTGATCCATTCATCTCCTTTATCGGCGCCAACTTCACGATGTACCGCCGTGCAGCGACAAAGCAGCTTAGGCTGTCGGGAAGTGCTGCCTTGCGGGCATCATGGGCTTCATCAAGCGCATCCAAGCGGCCACTTAGTCTGGCTGCCAATTATAAAAGTCACGCATCTAATCTTACACCATGCGCATCGATATGTCGAAGCTTCAGCAGCACGACTTCTCTGCGGAGCAGTTTCGATGATGACCAGGGAACCTACAGCGAGTCCGATCATGAACATGCTGTCATCTCAACTTTTGATCTCTTTTCCATTGGCATTGGCCCTTCATCGTCCCATACGGTTGGGCCAATGCGAGCGGGCAATATCTTCGTTGCAGACCTCCTGGCGGCTGGCTTGCTCCCAAAAGTCGACAGAATACGCGTAGCTCTCTACGGCAGTCTTGCACTCACAGGCGAGGGCCATATGACGCCGTCTGCTCTTCTGCTCGGCCTTGAAAGCGCCAACGTCGAGACCGTCGACACAGCCTACGTGCCTGAACGCTTTGAGCAGATCAAAAAGGACAAAAAACTCTTCTTGGGCCATCAACTCCCAGATGGCAAGGGCAAGGAAATCGCGTTTGACTTTGACCGTGACTTCAAATGGGAGTGGGGCAAGAAGCTGCCGCTGCACAGTAACGGCATGCGCCTCATGGTATTCGACAAAGAGGGATACATGTTGGCAACGAATGACCTATTCAGCGTGGGCGGCGGATTTGTTGTCAATGGTGCCTTGTCAATCAATAAGGCGGATTCGGAGTCATCCGCGAAAGATGCCGGTTTGGGACTGTCTACAGAAGCCCACGGCGCGCATCCATCTGACCTCGCCGAGAATATGTACTACAAGGAGATTCGGCGAGAAGATGCAGCAGGAGATCGAAGGACTGGACAAGAGATCAAGCCAATCGGAGACGCTGCCGGTCTGCTTACGTCTGGTGCTGATGGCGGAGATGCTCTCCCCCCAGCCGCATCCTCAACCGATGAGGCTTCTTCGTCTGGCGGAGCGCACGGCCCTCAGCCTCGATATCCTTTTAGAGACGCAAAGAGCTTACTAGCACTGTGTGACAAGCACAACCTGACGATCGCACAAGTCGTGTACGAGAATGAAAAGAGCCACGGTTACACAGACGATGAAATTCGGGACAAGCTGTTCCGAATCTGGGAGGTGATGGACAACAGCATCTTGGAAGGCGTCCAAGCAGCTCCAGATTCAACACTACCAGGCAGTCTGAAGTTGCATAGGCGAGCACCGGCGTTATATAGACGACTCACAAGAGGTTTATATCCTTCCTACACTACCTCGGCAAGCAATGCTACAGAGTCAGCTCAAGCCCAGTTACCGCTTGACAGTAAAGAACCGTCGCCTGGTTCACAAATGCCAGGATCCTTGACTACGGCGCCAACCCCTTCATCTTCTCCAACTGGCCGAAAAGACATGGCTATTAGGAGAGCGGCAGCTCTACGCACCCATGGCTCCTTTTCTCACCCAGTGCTGCCATCACCTCGAAGACGCACGACATTCCCAGCTAGTAAGTAGATGCCATCTCAGGGATAATCTGGAAATGGTAACAGAAACTAACTCAAGCCTCTGTAGTGGACTATCTTACGGTGTATGCCATGGCTGTCAACGAGACTAACGCAGCAGGAGGACGCATTGTCACAGCTCCAACAAACGGTGCAGCTGGTATCATCCCCGCAGTGCTCAAGTATACTGTCGAATTCGTCAGCGACGACCCCGAGCGAGACATTTTGTCCTTCCTCTTAACAGCCGCTGCCATCGGTATGCTTTATAAGCGTGGTGCTACCATCTCAGCAGCCGAGGGTGGTTGCATGGCTGAGGTAGGCGTTGCCTGCTCCATGGCAGCCGGCGCATTCGCAGCATGCATGGGTGCTAGTCCTCAAACTATTGAGCAGGCCGCCGAGATTGGAATCGAGCATAATCTGGGCTTGACGTGCGACCCCATTGGCGGGTTGGTGCAAGCGCCATGCATCGAGCGCAATGCCTTGGGTGCCATCAAAGCCATTTCGAGCGCCAACCTGGCTCTGAGCGGCGAGACTGGCACACAAAAGGTCAGCCTTGATGATGCCATTCGGGCCATGCGCGTTACCGCGCAGGGCATGAGAAACGAGTTTAAAGAGACGAGCTTGAGTGGTTTGGCTACAAGTGTGCCACTTCATATTCCCGTCAGCGTGCCCGACTGCTAAGGTCAATGGATGTTTTATATTTGATAGCGCAATATAATAAAGAGAGGCAGGACGACAGTTTGGCACAGTAATTAAGATGCTGGAAGGTTTTGCTACGATCCATAGGGTATCAGGAATTCCTATCAGCCGTAATAACTTACTAGTAGGCAACTCTTGGATTCATCTAAAAGTTTGAATGTCTAGAGAATCATTAGTAAACGCTCCAGTATCGTTATCTAACAACCTAGGCCACGCCGAAACATATTTGAGAAACATATAGCATTTGTAAAGGTAGAGGCAGTGGAGGCAGAAGTATTAAAACAGTTGTAAATTCGCGACAGAACCATGGTTGGAGTGCTGGATAATGGAAGTGGTGCGTTTAACAGTTCCCTTTCTTCCCACAGAGAATCTATCGCTGGGGTCGCTGTCGCATCTCATAGATCCTGGTCCAACCAGAACAAGCATTTTTCTGTTTCTAAAAGTAACATGCTAGCGTAAACACCAGTCAAAATACATCTACAATTTCGCAAACTTAAAGGTGTTTATATTTAGATACCTGCAAGTAAAGTACTTTGGTGCGCATGAAACACGGTCAAGGCATACAAGGTACTTGAGTACCGCATTTCCTACAATCGCAATCGAAGCAACAACGACGCAGACATAGACCCCTGCACAGCCACTACACACCAGCCGCGACAGCTGGTCGACAAACCGGGCCAACAGCCCTTCTTCTACTCCTCCTGTCGAGCCTATTGGAACTCAGCTGGTAGGCCTCCCACAGAATCTGAAGATGTTTAGGCGCCCAGTGACGCACATAAGGCAGCAGGCGCTTGGTGAGGGGCTCCTCGTTATTGCCGCAAGGCTTTCACGAGGTTCAAGGCATTCACAAGGTTCTCTGCCTATTTATTCACCTGCTGCTGCCTTCTGGCTTTACAAACTGTAGTAATTTCTTTTGCATTCTTTTGTCTGACATCTTTATCCAAAATGGCCAAGCACTTCCTGAGTTCAGAAATGCTAGAATATGCATTCCATCATATATTCTTACCCCCTAAGCTACCAAATGGAGACGATAGATCTCCTGCGAACGAGTTATGCCTCATTGAGCTGGTCAGAGATTCCTTGACCGAGTTTCTACCAAAGACAGATGCTAGCAACCATGACGCTATCAAGAGTGCGGTGGCCTTGATGAAAAACATGCATTATGTCACAGGTCCAGACGGATATCTGCAGGAAGATGGTGTGAGAGCCGTGTTGAAACAGATAGGTCCTCATAGTATGCTCTTGTGCGCTGCCTGTCTACGCTTTGCAAATCGCTGACTTTACTCTTTCCATAGGTCCTTCAAAATCCCTTGCATCATTGCATATCACAGCTCAGAATGCAGGCGTCATGCTTCGCTTGGATAATGATTCTGTCACATTCGAGATGTTCGAACTTTGTCCAACCAGCGGGTCTGTCTACTCAACCAAAGGACGCCTAATCCGTCAATTTCCCGCCGTTGCGGTGTGTATCCCTGTCAACATCTATGCAGAGGATGATTTCCAAGATGTCTTGGCCAAGACTCTCGTGAAGATGAGCTATCAAACAGTCAGCGAAGCACTTCCAAAAACTAAGAAAGCTAAGCAATATCATGCCGAGGAGCGAGATACAGTCGACCCAAAGATAGTTACAGAGCTGTTATATGGCTTCCTACGGGGCATAGGGAGCGAGGCCAACGTAGCTGGGATCACAAAGAATACACGAGAAGAAGTGTTGTGGGAGCAAAGTAAACTTCCTTGGAGGCGATCTGCCGTATGGCTTCTCATTCGAGTTTCTCTTCAGCTCACTATGGACCGTGTTGCTGTTGGCTCTGAGGAGCTCTACAAATCTTTCATCATTTTTCTTTTGTCTCGGGTTCTTAACGCTGCAACAAATGACATGATGGTTAGTGAAATCCTCATGACAATGTCAGCCAAAATTTCTCGACGCCTTTTGAAGTTGGGGCACCCCGCAAACGGGACATGGTTGACAGATGTGCACGAAACTGTGTCCATTGCGACGAAATTTGTAGATGACCGATGGTATCAAATACGAAATGAAGCTAAGTCGCAATTTGATCTTACAAGCCTGCAAAATCTCAACATGGCTGGCGATACAAGCATATCTATCCCAGGACTGAAAGACTTCATCTCGTCTATATCGGAACGTCGCAATGGCAGCCAAGTATCATCATTCTGTCCGAAATCGGGTATTACAGCCTTTGGACCCGAGAAACTTCCTAGTATCTCGGGCCAGATCGATAAAAACGAATGTCCTTTTTATCTTGCTATGGTAGAATCGTGGGTGGCCACACACCTTAGCGATTGGATTAAAAAACACGTCGGAGACGACTCGGCTTGCATAGATCTATTCAATTTGATGCAAAACTATCATGCAGTGGGTAGGGGTTGGTATTCAAGCCGCCCAGAAGGAGCATCTAGAATGATTCTTGTCATTCTGGAGCTCTGGGTTGCTGCCGATAAAGCCGCAATCCATGAGTTCCCACAGCTTGAAAAATTTGAACATGAGATTCCTATCGAAGTATTTCAATCTCTGCTGTTTGGATTCAGAAGAGATATGGAAAGGCTTCATCTGGTTCAAACATACCTCACAAAGCGGCGAGATCTTGCGCGACCAAAAAAGAACCTGTCAATTTTCTCCTCTTACGGCCAAAGAGGGTCCTTCCCGGTTGAGTACTTTTCGCAGTCGCCAGCCCACCAAAATCTTCTCATAGAGATTGAGGCGCGAGCTTACCTCGATAAACAAGCAAAGTTGGAAGAATACCGATTGTGCCGCGCTCAATACGAGACCTTTATGCGACATTACGAGCAAGGAGTTTGTGAGAGGGATGGGTGGTGGGAGGATGGGGTTTGGTATACTGAGCACGCTTCAGACTGCAAACGTTGCGCGTACCGTACCAAAGCCGTTAATATGTCGATAAATGTTTACGAATGGCCCCTTTCGAGCTCTCCACGTGAGGCTCAGGCGACGGTCTTTGAATTGGCCCTTCCCGACAGCTTCGGCGCATGGCGTGATGGGACCCTTTATGTTATTGACGATGTTCTTCAAAGCATGTGCTCTCAAAACGAAAAATTAAACTCGGAATATCCGTTAAGATCATATGCTGGTCTCGGTGAATTCTTCCGGTCTAATTCTAGGCGGCGCATTCACCTCTTGTCTGAGTCGAAGCCCCATGTGGCCACTCACCGGAAAAATATTAAGATTGGCCATAGCACTGAATCGGATGTCTGTGTGAATAATGGACTTCAATTGCGTTACTTCGATGAAAATAGGAGAACTTTTGTTGAGACATTTACCGCTTCTACTTGGTTGTCTGAACTCTGTACTTTCAGGCTAGGCAAGGATTTGAACCAATTGAAGCGTTTTCTTGTTCGTACCCACGATGAGCCAACCGGCGAGGCTCCAAATGCAGTTATTGCGAGTCAGGCCTTTTGCCCTGAAAATATGTCTCTTGGCGAGTATAAAGCTTTAGCTACGCTACCATTTGGATACCGTCTACAGTGGATGAGTATTCTCACTCAACTCGCAATGCCTGATGTCGATTTCAATAAATTTGAGACTGCAATATTCCTCCTACAGCTCAGTCTTCAAGCAGGGCCAAACGAACATTGTACAGTTGAGAGATGTGCACATGGGCGACTGACGGACGCAGAATTTGGTCGGGCAATGCTCGATCAGCTTCAGCTGTGCGTTTCTCGTATAAAAGAGAATTGGGAATCCCACACTGCCATGTGGATTTTTGTCTTTCTTGCAGCTCGCCTTCTATCGATGACTACGACGCCTGACTTAAATCTGGAAGTTTTTAACCTCTTGAAGAAGTGTAGAGAGATATCTTACGAATGGTTGGCAAGGCTACGCTCAAGGGCGTATGACTCGCCTAATGAAGATGAGAGGGTTCAGTTTTTACAGATCGCGTTTCGAGTGTCTCTGTTATGTGCAGACACTTTTAACGTGGACGATGAGCTCTTGGCCTGTATACTAAGTGAACCTCGCCAGGCGGCCATCTTGATCGAAATTTCCATCAATATAAATAACAATACTTCATTGGTGGAAAAAGACCAAGATGAGCTTGAGAAGATTATGTATGATAGATGGATTTTTACGATGCATCGTTCTCGGCCTATGCTCTCGGACGAGATTCTCTGCGGCGGAAATTCTTGTCTTGATAGAGCTATAAAGCGATGCTGGCCAGATTTCAGTCGGATAGGCAAATGGAGCTTGGTTAATTCCACTTGCAGCTGGCTTGAGACAGTATCTGCTGAACTAAAGATACATGTCAACCTCCTTACCGGAGAATTGTTGGTAAACGGGAGCCCATTATCTCGCCTACCTCGCAAATACGAAGTCCATAAGGATTATCAAAAGTTATTTGGGGCCTTTGTACTGGATGTCATGCCTAGTTCTTCACATGGAATGAAATTTTGCAGTTCTAAAGATCTCGAAGGCTATGTTGCACACTTCAGTATGGAGGATACTTTATTCTCCGACGAAGATCTGATGGTACGTCTGGATGGCCAAGATCCGGTATTAGATCTCATCCCATCTCGATTATTTACCGGGTGGCTACCAAACTCATTCATCGATGATTATACCCATTGGTACAATCAAGCTACGGGGAGTATTGAATTTCGTCCGACAGGTGACCCATGGAAGCCATCTACCCAAGGTTGGATTTTAAGCCAGCATAAACGGCACTGGAAGCTCACACGGGCTGGAAATATATCACTTCTTTCACCTGGTAGCTCCTCTGCCCGCTATATTGCATCCATATTTTCACCACTCGACACTGTGTTGCATTTACATATGCTGCTTGACGCAAAGACAGGCAATCTTGAGATCAAAGTGACTCGGCTACAGCTTGAATTCACGCTGAAAAAGGGGGAATCGGTTATCGTATCACGGCAGTTTCGAGGGATGCAAATCGATTCTAATCAATATATTGGCACGTTGATTGGATTTAACAGTAAGCTTGTGATGAAAGACATTCACAATTCAGAAAATAGGATGGTGATTATCCCCGAAGGAAACATCGACTTCGAAGCGATTTCAGAGGGTCACGTGCATGTGGACGTGGCTTATGGTACCGCAAATCGCGTCCAGAGATACTTGATTGACAATCAACTCCGTCACTTGGTTGGCAATGCCACGGCTCAAAGCAAGCTATATCTTGCTTATATACACGCACTCACTTCTTATTGCATTCCGGATCCCTTTTTGGGTAGGACCGGAACTGAAGAGAGCCTCTCAATTCTGGCATCTGCGTCAATACGATCACTCGACTGTCTAACCCCTGACAATGTGCAGGTACTGCAAGTTATCGCCAACCTCTCTCCTTGTCGGGACTATTATCCAAAACATATTAAGCATATGCAAACGGTCCGATGGTCGCCTGTGTTGAGTTTTATGGCTCAAGATTCGCGATTCTATAATGTTGTGAATAGCATCCTTGATAATGTTTCAGATATGAGCTTCTTGTATCCGTCTGATGAGGCTATTACGGTTGAACTCGCTCATAACGAAATGGATCTTGTTCATCGAGAAATTTTTCGAAGTTCGCGCTACCAAGTGTCTGGATTTGGCGCTGAAGACTTCAATGTGGATTATGATGTTAAGTACTCAACTAGAGATCGAGGCCAGTCATCGGCCGGGACTACTTATACACTCGAAACCACATTTCGCGTTCATAATAACATCAAAACCGTGGGACAACGGGCTGGAGAAGGATTTTTGGACATTTTGTACGACCTTCTTTCAGGGCCTGAAGAAACTTTCGCTTCCCAGAATATACCTGGCACGCAAGAGATTCAGTATGGCGCAGAATGGCTCAGTGACCCAAATATGTTCCTCCCTGCCTACTGGTGCCGATTGCATTTCGCTTTCCAGACAAAACCGTCCTGGATTAGCAAATTCCAGACCATGATCTGGCTCGCGACATTGGCATACTCCTCGAAACGCCAGACGAGTGTTCTCCAGGCTATAATGATGCTTCCACTATCGACTGAATTAGCAGCCGTACCTTTACCCGTAGGGTCGGCATTCAAGCTAAGTGAAGGTTATACAGTCAAAATGTATCAGCTCGAGAATCTTGTGCGTAGTGCGACTAGAGATTTCGGCCCTGGCTGTCCCGAGATGAAATTATCCCCATACAAGAATGAATCTCAGAATAACACACGACAGCGGCGAAAGACCGAGTTCAATAATGCAAAGGGGAGGGCGGTTACTTCCTTCGTCAACAGGCTTGCCATACAATGGCCGAATTCTGACCTAGTCACGCCCAATGAGTCTTGGTTCACGCCCTATATAAAGATTTCAAGTGCAATGGCGCTCGTTAAACAACAATGGCGAGTTTGGCTTGAAAACTTACGATTTAGAGAGTATCTTGAGAGATTTATACTCACATTCAATGCTGTAGAATTGGGGAATGTATATATTCCTCGGATATTGCGCCCTATCTACCAAGCCTCAGCTACTCGTCCTCGTGGATATGTATCTATTGATGACGTGTTTTGTAATACATCGCCCGTCATCGGCAATGCTGCACTTCTAAATCGAAAAGCCTTACAGCAAGCAGCGGATATCACAGAAGAGGCGAACAATAAGCTAGTCGACCTTCTTGATCACTTGAGTTCACGAATCGAATTCGACTATGAGCGTCAATATATTTCCGAGTTACGAAAAAGTCTTCTTGATCTCGGAGGTCTTACTACGATGCGATTGGAAAGGAATGATATTTCCTCGCGTAGTATGACTTTTGAGAATTATCTACAGCAATGCAAATCGTTCGTTCAAGAATGTTATGGCAGGTTGTTAAAAGCCGTTCTACCGGAATCAACTTGCTCTCATCTAGGCCCAGACGATAGCAGCACGATAATACGATCGATCATTTCAGCAGCTGGATTCCATCCTAGGGCTTGTCCTATTTTCTTTTTACAGCAGCTCGGAAGGCATCGGTGGCCCTCTCTCACCGAAGCATGGCAGAAGACCATTATTACCTACGCAATTGCAATAACCAGCCTTCAACAGGCTCAACGCCTAGTAAACTTGCAAGATAACGAAGTTGATCTCCTCAAAGAACTTGAGAATACCTGCAAAAGGGAATGGGATCCATGCCAACATCCAGAATGGTTACTTTTGGAGTGCGAGAGTGGCATCATCATCCGGCATGTGCAACATCAAATTGCTGAGCAGATGATTTCACCTCAAGACAACGAGAACGCTGTGATGCAGCTCAACATGGGAGAAGGAAAATCCTCTGTGATTGTGCCAATTGCAGCTACTGCACTCAGCAACGGCTCACAAATCGTACGTGTCATCGTTGCTAAACCGCAGGTTAAGCAGATGCATCTAATGTTAATGTCGAAGCTCTCCGGCCTGTTGGACCGCCCAATATTCCGAATGCCCTTTTCACGAGCAGTGCAGATGAACGAAAACAAGGCAGAGATTGTAAATAAATTGGCGCGCCGATGCATGGAAGAAGGCGGTATCTTACTGGTCCAGCCAGAGCACATTCTCTCGTTCCAGTTAATGGGACTCGAATGCGCGATCAATGGACGTAATGAAATTGCTCGTCCTTTATTGGAAACCCAGCGTCTTTTCAATGTTTCCTCCAGAGACATAGTTGACGAGAGCGATGAGAATTTCAGCGTCAAGTTTGAGCTAGTATATACCATCGGCAAACAGAGGCCAATCGAACATACGCCTGAACGCTGGGTGGTAATTCAGAATGTACTCTCTAGATTTGCTCGAATCTGTTTGCAGTTGAAGACGTCTTTCCCAGAGTCCCTTGACGTCGATGACCGGTATCCTGAGAGGTTTCCTAGAATCCGAATTTTGCGTTCCGATGCTGAGGCGGCTATTTTGACTCGTCTTGCTGAATTCATCTGCAACACAGGCATGTCTGGGTTTCCAATTGCACAGCAATGTACACGGTTGCGAAACGCGGTCAACCACTATATCAGCAATATTGATCTGAAACCGAAGGAGATTGATGCTGTTGAACAAAGCTTGTTTTGGGGTGAGACGACTGCCGACAACATTCTATTACTTCGCGGGTTGTTGTCGGGTGGAATACTCTCTTTTGCCTTTGGCCAGAAGCGCTGGAGAGTCGACTACGGTACGCATCCTAATCGTGAGAAGAAAACTAGATTGGCCGTGCCATTCAGGGCAAAGGATAATCCCACGCCTCGGTCAGAATTTAGCCACCCAGATGTTGTCATTGTCCTCACATGTCTGAGCTACTATTATAAAGGTCTTCAGGATGAAGAGCTTTTTGAGGCATTAGAGCTCCTCGTGAGGTCAGATAACCCCGATCTCGAGTACCGGGCTTGGGTGGAATCTGCGCCAGGATTGCCTCCTTGTTTTAGACATCTAACGGGCATCAACGTTCGAGATCGCACGCAGTGTATTAGTGATGTTTTCCCTCACCTGCGCTATTCTAAAGGATGTATTGATTATTTTCTTTCACGCATAGTGTTTGCGAAGGAATCCAGGGAATTTCCACACAAACTTTCCGCCTCAGGCTGGGATCTTGGCAAGAGAAAAATTAATCCTACAACTGGCTTTAGCGGCACCAATGATTCCAGGTATATACTGCCGATGGATATAAAGCAGTTGGATCTACCAGAACAGAATCATACTAATGCGTTGGTGTTGAACCATCTTCTTCGTTCTGAAAATGGTATCATGTTAATGCCAAAACATATGAAAGGAGCTAATTTAGAAAGCGAATCGCTTCTTGAGATGGTATCGCAGATGAGCTCAAAGACTAGAGTCATTCTTGACGTAGGCGCACAGGTTATTGACCTTGACAACCGTCAATTTGCCGAGGCATGGCTCAAGCGCTATCATGAAGATGACAGCGTTCAAGCTGTCGTCTTCTTCAATGAAGCAGATGAGTTGATGGTTCTAGACAGATCGAACAAGGTTGAGCTCCTACAGACATCGCCATTTGCTACTCAATTAGATCAATGCCTTGTCTTCCTTGACGAAGCACATACGAGGGGCACAGATCTGCGACTGCCTACAAATTATCAGGCAGCAGTGACGCTCGGCGCGAATTTAACTAAAGACAAACTTGTACAAGGTAAGGAGTGTATATGTCTACCAACATTATATGTGATTTTGTTGCTCACTCGTATAATAGCATGTATGCGGATGAGAAAGCTTGGACGAGGACAGTCGGTCGTGTTTTGTATCTCAAGAGAAATTGAACAAAAGATTCAAGCACAGCGGGACACCAAATCTTCTATGGCACAAGAAATCTTAGTATCTGATGTTTTATGTTGGGCAATAACCGAGACTTGGCGCGACCTTCGACGGATGGTCCCGTTATGGTTAACGCAAGGCGTCCGATACTACGAACAAGAGTCTATTTGGAACGACGGGGAACAATATTCACATGATATGGAAACATGGGCCAAGAAATTCCTTGAAACCGAAGCTCAAAGTCTCAAGGCTCGCTATCGACCAAAAACTGGCTCTGAATCAGCTGAGCTAATTAAACGAGCTAGGCCCGCCGTGAAGTTTCAGTTTCAACGTCGCTGCGAAGAATTCGGATTGATGAATTTCTGCAGTTCATCACTTCAAGAGGAACAAGAAAGGGAGCTTTCACCCGAGACTGAGCAGGAACGCCAGGTCGAGCAGCCTTCCCCTGCTCTTCCCGAGAAACATTCATGCCATCCAGATCTCCGCTCTTTCATTAAGCTTGGAGGATTTCCGGTAGGATCGGACGCGTTTAAACCTGCCTTCCAGGCTCTAAAGAGAACTTCGGCAGTCCAATACTTCGATATACACGAGTTTCCTACGAGCATATGGGTGACTGAAGACTTTTCTAAAACTGTCAAGATGGAGAACATACCAGACAACGGCATGGACCTCTTCCAGCGGCCAGTACACTGGATTTTGACAAGTAAATTAGATTCTTCCTCTACCGTTAGCCGTCTCGTCATAATAAGTCCGTGGGAAGCGCATCAGCTTATGCCATATATTGAGGCATCTGAGGCAGTCACCCTGCATTTATATGCGCCGAGGAGTAATCTTGGATTCAGGCCCCTGGATCAGTTGGTGTTGTACACGGTGCCTCATAGACCGAAGAAGTCAGTCATTCCGCCTGGAATGATGGTTGAACTGAACATCTTTGCAGGTCAACTATATTTGTCGTCGTTCGAAGAATATATCGAAGTGTGCAATAAGCTGGGCCTTGCCTGTAGCCCTGCTGATGATTCTGTTGTTCTCAGACCTGACGGTTTCATCCCACCTGGGGTAAATAGTGGGAATCTTGTGAACAAGTCCGAATTCAAAAAGAGTCCTGTGCAGTTTATTAAGGTATTGGTTACGAAAATTCGACGGAACTGTGAAGTTGTTGAGAAGACGCATTTAGGAAAGATATTGGACGGGGTTTTGTTGACAGAGGAGGATTTCGAGGAAGATGTTGATTGAAGTTTGCAATACTATATTATATTGATTTTTTTTCAACTTACTCAATTTGCTCTGAGAGATGAGAGGTTACTTGTAATGTTATTAGACGGTGTAGCGCTACTGTATCTGAATGGAAACTAGAAATTGATGAGTACCTGATCATTTCCATGTAAATTCCATATGGAATCATTATTTTTCTTCCGGGTCATGTAGAGGAACAAGTTGGGAATTGTTTCATCTGATAATGCCGTACCAGGCCTCTTGGTGTGTTAGTCGGATTTGCTACAAGCACCAAGGTACATATGCCCCTGCGCCACCATAAACTTGGCGCCGAGCTAGCTTATCCTTATCTTATCAACCCGCGCCGATAGCCAAAATTTCTTCGACATATCGATCCCGCCAAAGGCCAAGCCCAAATTCCATACACCAGAAATCGCACCTTTTGCGCCCCGACAGTCGCAAAAATGGTGAAACGAAAAGTCGCCGCGCTCGAGAAGATCGATGCTGACTTGTAGGTTCAATTGCATTTACATGCGCTTCCAGTTCCTCGTTATGCTAATAATTGTCACACAGCGCGAGTCTTCAGTACAAAATCCGGCGAGACCCAAAGTAAGCTCTTCGTGACCGTCTCTCCATCTTTGCTGCGGGCTGTCGCTCACGTTCCTCTAGATCTTATAAAGATGATTTCATGAAGCAGTGGGAGCAATATGAAGCCCAGCGCGAGATCTTCTTCATGTCACCGACGACGGCCGCTGCCGACTCGGTCGAGTCTTTCCACAACATGATCGACCTGATTGCGCACGTCGCCGACTGCTATCCCGAAGAGACTCGCACGTTCCAGGACGATCTGAAGGCCATTGTCTCCCAGAACCATGAAACGCTCCACCCTGAGCTGAGAGACAAGGTCGTCGGAAGTCTGGTGCTGCTGCGACGGAAAGAAGTAATCGACTCAACTGCTCTGCTAACAACGCTGTTTCCGATCCTCGTATCCTCGCGAAGCAAGTCTATGCGCGCGATGCTCTTCCAGAAAATCCTCAACGACTTGCGAAATTCAAACTCCAAGTCTACAAATCATCCGCTGAACCGAACTATTCAGGCGGTGCTCTACAACCTCATCACAGCCGATCGCTCTTCGCCGAGGGCTATTTGGGCCATTAAGTTGACGCGCGAACTGTGGAAGCGACAAATCTGGACGGATGCGAAGCCGGTAGATATCATGAAAGAAGCTTGTTTGGCCGATAACGAGAAAGTCATTGTCGGCGCTGTACGATTTTTCCTAGGTGGCGACAAGGAGCGTGAAGAGCTTGAGGACGAAAGCAGCGACGAAGAGATTGATTTGGCCAAAGTGAGGCATCAAATCACCATCAATAAAAAATCAAGGAAGCAGAACCAGGCATACAAAAAGGCAGTCGACAAGGTCAAGAGGCAGGAAAAGAAAAAGTCAAAGCCTCACCCGCTCAACTTTTCCGCCCTGCATCTGCTGCACGACCCTCAGGACTTTGCCGAAGAGTTATTCACAAAGCACCTGCAGGGTACTAAGAACAAGCTCTCACTGGATACAAAGCTACTCATCTTGCAGCTGGTCACCAGATTAGTTGGTCTACACAAGCTTACTATTGTGCCGCTCTACTCGTGGTTCATCAAATACCTTACACCCAAGCAACAGTCCGTCACTTCAATCCTGGCATCTCTAGCACAAGGTGTACACAACTTGGTGCCTCCTGATGCTCTGGAGCCCCTGATCCAAAAGATTGCAAATGAGTTCGTCTCAGAGGCGTCAGCCTCAGAAGTCGCTGCCGTTGGTCTGAATGCTATTCGTGAAGTTTGCTCCAGACAATCTCTTGCCATGACGGAAACACTGCTGCAGGATTTGGTTCAGTACCGCAAGAGTAAAGATAAGGGTGTCATGATGGCTGCCAAGGGTCTCTTGTCACTGTACCGAGAAGTCGGCGCAGAGATGCTCAAGAGGAGAGACCGTGGCAAGGAAGCCACCATGGGCTTGAGTTCTGGAGGGATGAAGCAGCGCAAATTCGGAGAGGAAGAAGTCGGTGGCATCGAGGGCCTAGATCTTCTTGCTAAGTGGAAGGAAGAGCAGCGAGAGAGGAAGCGCGCTGAAAAGGGAGATGGAAGCGATGTCTCTGATGACGAGAAGGATCCAGAAGATGGATTCAACTCTGACGAGTGGGAAGTTGGCTCAGAGGACAGCAGCGACTCCGGAGAATGGATCAATGTCGAGCACTCCTCAGACGAAGAAGACGAACCCGCGCCCAAGAAGCGAAAAGGAGATGGCGACGACGAAGACAAAGAAAGCGCACAAGACGCCGCCGCTGAGCTCGAACGCATGACCAAACTCGCCACCACCACAATCCTCACCCCCGCCGACCTCGCCAAGCTTCAAGAACTCCGCGCCGCCTCCTCCGTCCAAAAGGCCATGGGCAGCAAATTCCGCAAACAGCAGAACCAGAACCCAGACGGCCACGTCGACGACGGCCTCACCGCCGAGAACATCGAGGCGCCCATTCGCCTCCGCAAGCTGACCAAGGAGGAAAAGGTCGCGCTCGCCAAGGAGGGCAAGCCCGATCGCGAGGAGCACAAGAGCACGACGGCCATCCGCAAGTCCAAGAAGGAGGCTGCGGGAAAGAGCACGAGCAACAAGGAGAAGCAGCGCAAGAAGAACTTCTTGATGACGCTGGGCAAGGCGAAGAGCAAGCAGAAGAGGAGCTTGGTCGAGACGAGGAAAGTCTTGAGAGGACATGTGGAGAGGAGCACGAGAGGAGGAAGGAGAAGGAACGGTACATAGAAGATGTAATGTGGGGGTTTTTTGGGCTTCGATTTATGTATCGGGGGAATAGTCTGTTCAGTTTCGTATATACATCTATACAACGAAGCGTGGTGTTAAGTACGTAGACAAGAAGAGGGAAAAGGAGAGTACAGCGGACACAGAGTAATTAAGACATTACAAAATGAGTATCAATGTTGTATATTTGCCATAGAATCATTATATGCATAATATGAAGAGAAACATGCGGTAATACTGGTATCCAATGAAATCCACCAACCCAAATAACCAAAGAGATAAAAACCATCTCCATCAATCCAATGCCCAACATCCTTTACTGAACGTTGGTGACTACAGGCTTCTCGTGATCAATCTTCTCTGCAATCTCCTCATCGTGTGTGTGGCCCTGGGTGCCAACATCAGTCTCGCTGAAGGCATCGACAACATCGCGATACGCAGGCACAAAGTTGACGCAAAAGGCATATGACCAAGCAATGACGAAAAAGGCAAGAGGAACAACCATGCTGATGCCATTGCCATGTCTCTCTGCTGCTACAAAGGTCAAGGGTGGGACACAGGCGCCACCGACAACACCACCAACAATGAAACCACTGCCACGCTTAGTGTGTCTGCCAAGACCACGCATTCCAAGAGCAACGATGGTAGGGAAGCAGACAGATTCGAAGAAGAGAACGACGTAGAGCATGGCAATACCAGTGTTTCCACCTTGGGTAGTAGCCGGGCAGATGAAGATGATACACATGCTGATAAAGACAAGGAACACCCATCGTGGCTTCACGAAGCGCATGATACCACTTCCGGAGAATCGGCCAATGGCGAAAGCAGCCTGAGCACCGGCGAACAGCTTTGAGCCGAGGCTGCTTGAAGTGCCTGGTCGGGTCGCTACAGCATAGTTGATGAAGCCACTGGCAATTGCAACTTGAGCACCAGTGTAGCAAAACTGGGCAAGGGCAGCGTGGAAGAGTCTGTATTGCTTCCAGAGTGGTTTGTCGTCTGAGCTGCCATGGGCTTCTTGGGCTTGAAATTCCATATCTAGAAGTGAAATTTTCATTAGCAAGCTGTGTTAAGGGTGTCCACTACAACAAGATACTTACCAGCATTTGTGATCTCGGGGATCTTGGCGAAGAAGAACAGCGTTGCCAGGAGAAGGACAAAGACGACAATCGCCAGGTAAACCCATTGTACGTTTTGGAGAGCCTTCTCGTCGCTGAAGTTGAAGAAGACGTACGAGCCAAGAACGGGGGCAATGACGGTACCGATTCCGTTGAAAGCTTGCGAGATGTTGATTCGGAGTTCAGAATACTTTGGTGGGCCGCAGACTGGGGTAATATTAAGTTAGCAGGGGTTGAAAAGATGGAGAGAGGTAGGTTTAAGCATAATTGACTTTGGTATTGTGACATTACATACCTGTGATGAAGGGATTGGCGGCAGTTTCGAGGGAACCAAGGCCATTGCCGATGATGAAAATGGAAGCGCAAAATCCTCCAAACGATTTCGCCTTGATGCAAGGGATGGCGATAGCAGCGCCTACAGCGTAAAGGAAGAGACCCCAGATGAAGACGGCTCTGTAACCATAGTGGCGAAGAATCCAGGCGGCATGACCGAGCGAGGCCAACGGATATGCGCTGAAGAGACTCAATGTTAGCCAACTCTCCTGATAAAGCGCGGCGCAATGGAATGTGTATCTGCGCGATTAGAAAGAGAAACTCACCCAAAGTAAGCGGCCTGAAGACCAGAAGAACGCGCTTGGTCGATATGGAGCGTGTTCTGGAAATGCTTGTTCAGCGTGTCGAGCAGGCCATAACTGAATCCCCAGAGGAAAAACAGGACGGTGACAAGCGCGAGAGGAAAGATTGATTCTCTGAGAGTGAGCTCCGCAGATCTTGTACGGCTCTTGTCGTTGGCCTTGAGCGACCGGCTCTTTAAGAATGAGGCGCCCATGGTGATGAACTCCAATCTGGAGGATTCCACCAAGTGAGAGAGGCGGTAGAGAGAGAGAAGGACGAAATTGATGCTGGGACACTCTCGATCAAAACTGCTCTCCCGCGCTGGGAATGCGACCCTTTTGACTCAATTCGGTTGACCAGCCCCTCACATCACCGGCCAGGGTTTACTTTGACTCGTCAAGGCAACTTCTTGATAGATAGTGCATGTACATTGCATTGCAACGCTGCTGTCCCTGGCAAAATGTGGACATGATCATCCGGCGCATTACCGGCCTCAAACTCCAGGTTAGTACTAGCCTCGTCGCCCTAAAAACTCCCGTCGGTAAAATGGCTCCTCCAACGAGCTGCGAGATGCCTCATTGCTGTGGGTTCTTCGCGTCTTTTTTTTAAAGTGTGGCGTCTTAAACCCCGACTTATTGGAGGCGACGCAATAAAGGAGAGACTGTCCGCTTACGGTGGCGTCCTTCGGCTGCTAGCGAGAATTTCCCCCGACAATAGCGGTCGAAACTCCTCCGAGTTCACTGCTAGCAGACAGAGAGACGGCAGTGATCTGTACGCGCATCACAGCCGCCCACCCGTCTTTAGCAACTCTGGAGAAAAGACGGGTCTCGGAGGTGGAGGTGTCTGGGATTGCTGGGGTTGAAGGAGGCGGGGAACCTAGAATGGCTGGCCATTGGCTTGAAGCGAGGTCTAGCAGTCTGGGGACACTGGATCTCGAGTCAAAGCTGCCCCGACATCCTGGTAATTACGCGCTGAACTGGGCGCAGGACACGAGGAGGACAAGATGGGCCGATGGCGAGTCGCAACGATGACGGCAACTGTAGGCTGCCGAACAAGCCCCCCAGTAGTTCCCCAGATATCATAGAGATCGTCACTGTGACTCGACCACAAAGAATGCCTTGACGTCGTATTGTACATTCCCTCTGCAAAATCCATGCGGGGAGCTCGCAGCACTGCAGCGTCGCGATCTGCTGGCGCTAGAAGCCTTGGAATTTTCTATCGCGAGTAGAGACGAGAGAAACAGGTTCCCCTCACCGTTCGTGGGGTGCTAAACGCTGCTCATGGGCCGGTAGCATCTGCATTTGCGCTCCCACATCCAATACCGTGGCGCTGTAGCCGCATGTAGCCCCTAGCTGGTGCCTATATTATCCTCGCGGGGGTTGTCAATCGGCTAAGCATAAGCATATTATCTGCGTGCGGAGAAGTTGTGTAGCGATGTGGACAAGTCTTCACACCCATTTCATCCCAAGGGTTGACATACTGGAGAGTAGTAGGAGTTGTCGTACATTCTAGTAGATATAGTAGATGGATGAGATGCTACAGCAGAAGATGAAAAAGTCCCGACTTCAAGCAAGGAACCATTTTCGGTGCCTGAGGTCGTGGCTGCTAAGACGCAGGCGCTGTAAAGTGCTGCTTGACTTTCCACTCGCAGATCACCGCTTATCACGTGCGGCCGCCAATCTCTGGACGTGTCTTGTGAGAAGTACCCCTGTATTGCATACCTCACACACGGCTGTTGGTTCCAAGAGGCGTTTCGGCTATTTACCTTGATACGTTGCCGGTGGCTGACTCGCTTTCCATCCATCAGTGAAAGCTCCCGTCGGCTTCATTCCAACGGGTCCAAGCATCTCTTCCCCAGATCTCCAGCTCTTTCAGCCCCAGAAGCAGGCCGCAACTCTGGGGCCCCGGACCATGCCGATGAAACTAGAATCAGCCGGCTGGCTAAATTGGCGAAGCCTTATATTGTCACCCTACTCTACGTCGATGCCAGTAGAGGCGTTGATGGCCTCCCCCAAGCGGGATGTTACTGGACAGCCTTGCCTGGACCGTGATCGGCACGAAGCGACCAGCCATTGACGACTGGCTATGAGAAGCCCCATGCATAAAATGCGCCACACCAGTAGCTCGCCTTAACCACAGCCAAAGAGAAGCTATTCATCAACTCTGCCGCCTTATGGCGTCGACTATTGCATCGTCAGCTGTAATGCAGCCTTTCAGGATTGGGTTACTTTGACTGTAGCTGAACGGTGCAAGGATGAATAAAAAACGCTAAGTATTTTGAGATTGCCTGATTTGATCTCGTGGGCCATCTGGAAGCTCTGCCTCATTCTCCCGTCGGCTATCATGAGCTGAGACTTCTAGCTTGAAACGACTACTACTGCTTGTTAGTCATCGAGCTACACATGACTTTGTCAGATGGCCTTTGTATATCGTATTCCGTCGCTCAAATATTCTTTATCTTACTTTGATATTTCCTTGCGCCAACTCTTCTAGACTCATATTTTTTGTTCACCGCATCGTAAACTTGAGGCTATCCTATCAGGGCGACTAACACGGCAGCAAGATTATCTCGTCGGGTAAATGAGACCTGTCTGGACTTTCTCCCGCGCCACTTCATAATAACTTTATGATCCATGATTGCCGTCTATTCATCCAGCTGAAAATTAAGCGACGCCGATATGGATTATAAGTATTTGTTGCCGATACCGTTTTGATACAAGAGCTATAGAGACGGAAATGCACAAGCATCTTATCGAGTATAAAGTGTCTGTAAAGGAGTTTAGTGTTTGTGAAAATATCAAGTACTATACTATCAGATTTCCTAAGAAAATGTGCTTTGAGGATATAAGTTGGGTAGTCTAGCTCTGTTACCGATAATTCGTCTTCATCCCACTAGCGATGAAGAATTTGGAGTATGTTTATGGCGACTGTGACAATTAACCTCTGGAGTAATAAAATTGTAATCAATTTGAACCATTGCTACTGTACATTATCTGCTTCTGCTCAGCGTCTTCGGAGCGGAGATGATGTTGGACCTTAAGAGAAGGAGAGAATTAGCCTTTCATAGCTATACTGATCACTGCAAGATACTTCAGAATTCTAGGCCATTTGGTATCATGAGTGGTTCCAACACTAAGGCGACAAGCGAATCGCTGTTTATAGGATAAACCCTTTAAATCGAGATATACCTAGTATTTTACTATACTCTAAAGCAATCCCGACGGCGCTCCAAATTTGAAATGCGATACAATCAAGCCTGATTCAGGGACTTGTCGGCCCTATTAACATTTTATTCGTAGATATTTAACTAACAACCAAAAATCTACGTTGCTAAATGTGTCTGCTTAAAAGAAATAACATTTATATGCAATATCCAATGATACCCCCCCGTCAAAGCATTCAAACATCGACCCACCTCGGTGAGTCGACATGCGCCATGGTGGGGCCGTTAGTGGACGCGGGGCTCACCGAGGCCAAGTCGGCGCTTCAATTTATTTTTTTTTTCTGCCGAGACAAAATTTCGACAAGACCGAGAGCTTGTTCTTCAGCCTTGCCGAAATGTCCAGAAACACGGTGCAGCCCAATGGATGGGTTGCAATTAGATTGCCAAGTGAAGTGACGCGAGTCCTTCAGGTTGTTCCCAATACGTGCGCCTCTCTCCCTTCTGTTCTCTCTGTCTCTTTCTTCCTTCCTTGATTGCCTCTGAACTGACTGGAACGACAGAACCATATCTCTAGGCAAATACGGCTCTTTCCCGAGTAATCTTCTAATCGAACGACCGTTCCATCTCACCTATGAAATCCAAGATAAGCTCGAGGGCGAAAGCTTTCCTCGACTCCGTGTCGTTCCCGGCAAGGAGCTCAATGCTGATAAGCTCGCCGACGTGAGCGCTACCGAGTCCGCCGACGCAGACGAGGTTATCGAGCCGGCAAATGGAGAGGAGCTCACCCTTGTTGACGAAAGCGGCAAAGTTGTCGCGCGATCCACCCGCGAGGTGATTGACGAATCTGCACGCCAAACCCTCACCATGGCAGAGATTGACCAGCTGAAGAAAGAGGGCGCGTCGGCGGGCAAGGAATTGATCGCCAAGCTCATGCTCTCTCACACAGCGATTGACCAGAAGACGGCTTATTCGCTAGCCAAGTATAAGCTGCTCAAGGAGAAAAAATATATGCGACGCTTTACTGTCCTGCCTCTTGATGTGGCCATGCTTGGACACTGGATGCTGTTCGAGAGAGACGCGAGCAAGGTTATGGAGATGCGGCAAGAAATGATTGGCTTGCTAGGATGTTGGGCCGATGTTCACTTTGGCGGCTTGCCAATCGACGGGGAACAAGGTCCCCATGGCGGACGATGGCTGGCTGTTGATGACACAGGTGGCCTGCTAGTTGCAGCCATGGCCGAGAGGATGGGAATACTTCATGCCGAGCCATTAGAAGCAGAGGAGACGGCAAAACAGGTAGCCGAAGAGGAAGAGAACCCAAAGACACAGCCTGCCAACGATGAAGCAGAGGCAGAGGCAGCAGAGTCATTAGCCGTGTCAGCGTCTCCCAAGGCCCAGCGAAGCAGACCCAAGCGACCCCGAAAAGACGATCTGGATGATCATTATGCTCTCACAAATAGCATTACCCTCATTCACGCCAACTCACAACCCAACCTCTCTCTCCTCCGCCACTTTGACTACGACTACAGCGACCCCAACCCCCCATATCCTTACCACCCGCTCTTCACCAACTTGCTACCCATATCCTGGCTCCAGCTGCTGGATCCAGAATCCGACCCTACCTACTCCGAGCCAGTACCAGAAGTAGAGTCCGACGTCCTCGCCTCCTGGAAGACCAACCGCCGCGCAAATTACCACCGTAAGCGACGGCGATGGGCTCGCACTCGCCAAATCGTCGACGCCACCCGAACAGGCGGCTTCTCCGGTCTCGCCGTCGCAAGCACCATGGATCCCATCTCAGTGCTGCGTCACGCGCTCCCTTTGCTCGCAGGCGGCGCCCCCGTCGCCATCTACTCACCGACAATTGAACCCCTGACGCAACTGGCGGACTGCTTCAGCATTGGCCGACGAGGCGCCTGGGTTTCCAATCCTCCGGCCGAGGCGGAGGGTAAGACGGCCGTGGAGCTGGAGAATTGGCCGGGCACCACCGAGTTCCCCATCAACCCGGCGCTGCTGATCGGAGCGCAGGTGCAGACGAGCCGGGCGAGGAGATGGCAAGTGTTGCCCGGCCGGACACATCCGTTCATGACGGAGAGGGGCGGGGCGAGCGGCTACGTGTTTACGGGCTGGAGGGCGATCCCGGCGGAGGGAAATATTACGGCCAGAGGCAAATTTAATAGGAAGAAGCCAAGGACTGGATAATCATGGTAGACAAGTGCTGTGGGAGAGAAGCATGGATTGAAGTTGGCGACGGAGTGTATATGAGAGTTTCAAGTTGGAATCGAAATTTCGAATACCCTTTGCGTGCATGCAAAATAGGCCCCCTTTCATGACGGAATTTCCAACCAGGCGTGTACAACGCTGTTTAAGATGCAGTAAAACAATAATAGTATTCCCGGTCTAGATGTCTCCAAGTACGAAATTCCACTCTACAACGACTTGCCCATAAACTTTCTCTTCGTGAAGCTCAACCACCACTTGCTCGGCTTGGTTTCGTCTTCCTCGTACACTCTAGCCAGTAATCGGGTGGCAAGCTCCTGGCGGACCTGCGCCATGTACAGCTTGAGCTGCTCTGCGTCCTGTCTGTCCCGAGGAGGCTCGTACATCTTAAATTTAATGTTAGTCTCTTTCACCGTTCAATCGTAACGAATAAAGAAATAGTAGAGGCGAACCTGGTTCAGAGGGAATGCTGGGTCTCCAGGAATGGCAAAGTTGAGGTCCAAAGCCAGGTTGTTGACCTCCTTGCCGGCATCGCGAGCGGTGGCATTGGGCTTGATCTTGGTCAGGCAGTCGCTCACAAACCAGATTCCGTAGACGAGCAGGCGGTCAGCCGGGCCCTTGATCTCGAAGTTGCGGAAGAAGGTGTTTGCGCGAAACAGGCGGAGGACCTCATCGAGGATGTCGTAGCTCTCGCTCTCGATCTCGGGAGACTCCCAGGCGGGCAGCGGCGGTGACGGGAAGGGCAGGACGTAGGCGGGACCGCGAGTCTTTGTGCGGAGAGGGAGGAGGGGGAAGTTGCCGATGAGGCGAGGAGGGTTGGGGTCGGAGTTGAAGTCGGAGTTGTAGGCCTGGCAGTTGGAGATCGGATTAGCAAGAGTTGAAGATTCGAGGAGAGTCTATAGGAGACGCCGAGGGCAAGCAAGCACCCGGCAATAGCATCACCGGCAATGCGACCTGCAATCGGACGAGCGCCGTCCGGTCCTCTCCGTCAACAAGGCAATGCACGTACCGGCATCTTGAACTGCAATGGCGCCGTGCCGCGGAGGACGAAGCTGCTGGGAATGAGGTTGGAAGCACGAGATGGTCTGCGCTGCGGTTGGCGGGGCTCCTCCTAAGACACACAGCCAGATCAAAGACCCATGGAGCTGTCGTCAACTCGAGTCGCCAAGTGGGGCCAGCGCCGAGCTCAGTCTTCTCCGTGCTGAGGTAAGCGCGGGCCACACGTGCCACATGTGCCACAGCGCGCATGCAAGCAAACAGCGAGCCCGCGGCTGGCACCGCCACACAGCATCTGGCTGCCTAGATCACGTGAGTTCGCTCTACGGTCGCGCCGCCTAGGAGCTCCCTGGCCCGACGCGCCCGCTTGCCTGCGGCCCAACAAACGTGTGAATATTTATTAATCGATTAATTGCCCTGCGCGGCGCGTTTGCTGTATCAAGAGCTGTCTCACGTTATTCCTCAGGCCCGGATTTGTGTCCTACAAAAGACAAACGACTCCCTTTTTGCCCCTTCCTTCATTCACGATTTGTTATTTCCCTTGTGTAATATTCCGTCATCCCTGCGCACGCAAAATATCACCACTTGCGGTTTCTCATCTCCAAATCTCCCCTTCCCCCATCTCTACTGCTAATCCCTGCACTTTTTTTTTTCTTTCCTTTTTTTGCACTTCCAGAAAGAAAGAAGGACAAAAATTCCGAATATTTGGAGAAAAAAAGCAAAGATTTGCGGGGAAATTCAACAGGGAATAGACGTGCAGCAGGCTGTTGCATTTTTCTGTCGCGTTTAACGCGGGGAAGGGCCCTCAGCCATTCAGAGACAGACGCATGGTAAGATATGAATCACGCAACACGAGATGCTCGTCTAGGAGCCGGGTGGCTTCCTCACCTTTTGATTTTGAAGGAGTAGAGGGATATTTTGCTCGCTGCGGTCTTGCTAACGCATTTTCGTAGCTTCATGTTTCGTCAAAGCGCCATCGTCGCCAAGTTGCGTGCCCTAGTGGACGATATGACCAGCAGCCCCTCCATGCCGCCATCTTCCGACCCCAAAGAAGATGACGACAAGGTCATAGAGTCGCCTGCATCCACTCCACCAACAACGCAGCAGCCCAAGTTCGATTCATCACCTCCACCGCGGCGAACTCTTCCATCGCGACGTGCAGCTCGAAGGCGCCGCCCGCAAAAGGGCTCCCTTCGCGACATCCTCCGCGAGAACTCCGGGACTTCGCTCTTTGTACGCCCCATCGGTTGGACAGATCTCCATGCCAGCCTGCTAGGTGTGCGCTTCTGTGAACTGCCGGCTTGCGACACTCCACGGCCATGCAACCTGCCAGGCTCTCCGCCGACGCAGGGCCATATGCGCCCATCGCCCACCATTACCAAGCTGAGTGACGCGCTGACAGAGGTCTTGTTGCTCTCTTCGGGGCTTCCAAAACCGACTTCTACTGCCGTCAAGACTGTGCTGATGACGCTGTGGCCTACTGCGTTTGCAAAGTGGCAGCCGTTGCCGGATCTGAACATATATTTCGGTGACAAGATATATCATGATGTGGTGCGTGTTCAAGCATTGTGGAACTTCCCCTCACATCCTTCGGCCCTATCATCGCAAAGCTCAGTTGCAACAATACCAGCACGACCTGTAAGCTCGTCGTCAAGTCCGCCTGTTCACTGCACTGCAAACTTGCCGATGCTGTGTTACATTGGGAAGTACCAGCTTGCATCAATACGAAAGTGCATCTTTCGGGTAGCTACCGGACCAGATAACAACCCAAACATCCCTGTCCAACGGCTGCAGCAACTTCGCGCCAAGCTTCTTATTCCAGCGGATGCTGATAAAGATGCGCACTTCGTCGGTATCTTCTTGGCCATGGCGCAGAGGCATTTCTATACGCCCCCGATACGAACTTCGACAAGAGAATCATCTTTGGGACTACAAAAGCTTAATTCTCGTCGGCCCGACTTTCAAGATGTCAAGATGAGAATTTTGACGCATGATAATGAGACCAGCGAGTTCTTGGTCTATACGGGCCATGTAACAGCTCAATTTTTGGATCGGTTTTTCGATCCTTCTGGTGCCTATTATGACGAGGACGGCACGATTGCGGGGATGAAGGTTGAGTTTACCCGCGTTCCCATCTGGCCCATCCTGGGGCTGCGAGAACGACTAGGCAAAGCTTTGGGAGAGGATATTGTGGGGTCATTTGATTCAAATCAAATGGAGACGTGGGAGGATGATAGCTCTGGTTCTGGATCCGAGTCGAGATTTTCAGACTCAGGCGCTAGAGGCGCAAACATCAAGCGGAAGCGGAGAACTCCGACAGCGTTTGATGAAAACTTGGATGAAGAATCTGACGAAGACCAGCCCGCCATGGGCGACAAGAAGCGGTGTCTGAGCGAGGAGAGAAATCTTGTCGGCGTTGTGGTTTAAGGCAGAAAACAGCTGTAATTGGTAATGCATGGACGTTGCCATCGGGCGCTAAAGGCAGGGCTTACGACTAAATGTAATGTTTAGATAGGAGGGGGCTATATATACCAAGCCAATTTGGCGCAGGGTTGAACCAGAGAGGTCTCTTAGACTGGATTGGCGGTATCTTGGGAGGACAGCATTTGACTTTTACTCAATCCGGTCTGCGGATATTACAGGCAGATATCCCACATGGTCTGAAGGCTTCAGTTTCGGTGCCGAGATTTCAAGATGGTGGCAAGGCCAGACCATCTCTTCATCAGCAAGGCACTTGACGACTTTGTTTTGTATTCTTTTTGACAAGATAGGCATGTAATGATATCATTGATGAATCGATTAGATTAGATATAACCATGGAAATGTTGAGCGAGTTCTATGGCGCTGACACCGTTATTTTAAATGCAATATTCTGTTTAACTACCAAATCAATACGAAATCCAGATTTTCCTGTAAAGCAATTATCATTTTCGACGTGCATAAAGTGAAATGGAAAAATTTTACTAGTAGTGTTATGTCGATTGTGGTGGAACAAACGGGGCGTTGTGCCGTGTGTTCTTTTGTGAGATGATGTCTTGAAGAATGCACACATTGCACAACCTAATCTTTGGCCGCATGAGGTTTTTATTATCACGTCTCTTAGTAATATATTACATATTCTAGATACTGTACTTGATCATTGTGTTGTCCAAGGTAAACTGCTGCATTAGACCGAGTTAACACCCATGTATCTTGGCATCTACATGTAGGCAGCATCAAAGGCAAAACAGGTGAAGCATGTGACTTCCTTCCTGAGGCATGCATTAAAGAGCCTCTTCTCTTTCTGCATTCCTCCAACCTCCATTATCAACCTCCATTATCAACCTTGCAATATGTTGACTAAGACACCGAAAAAGTCTTACGGTAATACGTAAGTGAGACAAAGCCGTGACTGAATTAGCGCTGGTGGCTTGCAGCATTGCCATGTCGATGCATCTACACGGCAGACACTGCCAATGATATTGCCCAGCCAAGACCAAAGTCCAGCCTCAACGCTACTCTGACGGCCAATCGCATCGTGAGGTATTTCTCTCCGCATCCGTCGTTTTGTGCCTGAGCTGACCGGTATACCTCGAATAGGCAATGGGAGCTAATTCGGGTATGCCACCCAATACACAACTGACCTCGGCTCCCAACCTTATTCATGCCCCTGTCTGTGTCTTTTATCACCATAAACACCATTCTTTTTTACATGTGCTCCCAATAGCTTCAAGAGCTTACAACTCCTCGAGGCTCGCCTACGACGACTCCAGCTTCCACTGCCCACCCCCCCTGCTGGCGTTGCACTGCGCCCCGCACTTCTTACCCCACGGGGAAAAATTGGACTTCAACTAGGAGCTTCTTTGCTCTTCTAGGCAGTTCAATAGGACAAATACAGAGTACCGGCAGCTGTCAAAGGCGGGGTTTGAAGCGTTTGCAGCATCAGCAAGATGGCCGAAGCGTCGACAAAAATGCACCGCCGCCGCGTTTTCAATGCAAGCTCCACAGATATATGGCACGAGACCATCCATAAGTGAGGAAGAAGGCCCTTTTTTGTCCACCTCCGTTCTCGTCTTGCGGCTATGGGCTGCAGTGTAGCCCTTCCTTGCTTGCATTGTGGCCTGGCAGCGGTTCTTTTTACACACGAGAATGAGTAGACGGCCGTTGCTTATCAATGTGATAGTCTCTGTTTAACGCCAGAGCGGATACGTTTTGCTTCCGCCAAGAGGCGTAGTGCCATTTTCAAAAATCATTTTTTTTCTCCAAGAGTTGCTGGATGGGTGGAGATGTTCATTATCCGACCACGCATTGAACCATGCGGAAGGCAGGAACCCAACCTGAGCCAAGAATTTTGCAGAGATTTTTTGGCCTACCATGAGATGGCCTCTTGAGAATTAGTCTCACAATTCCCCGCAGAGGTCTTTTACGGCGTGAATGACCCGTATTCGTATGCAGTTGAAAATATATAAAAGATGGCGAGTACTCTGAGTCTGAGCTGGGAACCATCCAGTCGTCGAGTCTTCTTCCCCATCATCTCTCTGGCAACGCCTTGACCCTTCGAGATGAAGTTGACTACTATTCTGCCGGCCCTTTTGGGCTTCTTTTCTTTGGCTGTGGCAGCCCCAACACCAGAGACTCTCGAGGCTCGGTCTTCAGTCAGCGTAAAACTAGCCTCTGGAACCATCGTCGGCAGCTCCCTCTTAGGCATTGATACCTTTAACGGTATACCCTTTGCTGACCCTCCGGTGGGCAACCTCAGACTTGCTCCTCCTCAAAAGCTATCCAAGAACTTGGGAACGTTTAATACGCCCGTACTTCCTCCTGCGTGCCCTCAAATGTTTCTTTCGACAGGCTCGTCAAACATTCTGATCAAGCTGTTGGGAAGCTTCTTGAACTTTCCTTTCTTGCAGCCCATCACTGGCCAAGAGGACTGTCTGAATATCTCTGTCCAGCGGCCTGCAGGCACCAAGGCCGGTGACAAGCTGCCAGTGGCATTTTGGATATACGGTGGAGGATTTCAGCTTGGTGCCACAGTCACCTATGACGGCACCAGTCTCCTCGCTACTGCCATTGCTCAGAACCAGCCCATTATCTACGTTGCTGTCAATTACCGCGTTGCAGGTTTCGGCTTCCTTCCTGGAGCTGAAATCCTCAGGAATGGTAGCGCAAACTTGGGGCTCTTGGACCAACGCATGGGCCTTCAGTGGGTGGCTGATAATATCGCGGCCTTTGGCGGCGATCCAGACAAGGTCACCATCTGGGGCGAGTCTGCCGGTGCAATGTCTGTTTTTGACCAGATGCTTCTTTACGGCGGCAATGCTACGTACAATGGCAAGCCTCTGTTTCGCGGTGCCATTATGAATTCTGGAACTGCCGCACCAGCTGAGCCTATCGACTCTCCAAAAGCTCAAGCCGTGTATAACAATGTTGTCAACAAGGCCGGCTGCAGCGGAAAGGCGGATACTTTGGCATGCTTGCGTCAAGCTCCTTACAGCACGTTCCTCAATGCGGTTAACTCGGTACCAAGCATCTTCTCCTACAACTCTCTTGGGCTGTCTTATTTGCCACGCCCGGATGGCGTTGTCCTTGAGGATAGTCCCGAGGTTCTCTTCGAGCAAGGCAAATACTATCCAGTCCCTATGATTGTCGGCGATCAGGAGGATGAGGGCACATTGTTCTCTGTGTTCCAGACCAACGTGACCGACACCCCGAGCCTTGTCAACTGGCTATCCACGTACATGTTCTCCAATGCCACAAAAGCTCAACTGACTCAATTGGTGAATACGTACGATACCGCTATTTCCAGCGGTAGTCCTTTCCGGACAAGTATTTTCAACGAATTTTACCCCGGATTCAAGCGAACGGCCGCGCTTCTCGGCGATCTCGTTTTCACGCTCACCAGACGCATGGAACTCACTACTGCCGCAAAACTGAATCCCAGCGTGCCCATTTGGTCTTACCTCTCATCTTACGACTACGGCACCCCCTTCCTCGGGACTTTCCATGCTTCCGATATCTTACAGGTGTTTTACGGAATATTGCCTAACAATGCCATGTCGAGCACCAGAACATATTTTTTCAACTTTATGTACAATCTGGATCCAAACGTTGGGGTGACAAGATACGCCAAGTGGCCCAAGTGGACGGATAACCAGCAGCTTATGTGGTTCCAATCTTCCAACTCGAATAGTCTGCTGGCGGATAACTTCCGGAATGAGAGCTACCAGTGGATTGTTCAAAATAAGGCTGTTTTGAGAGTGTAAATACAGCGGTGATGGGCGGGCTTGGCGTTTAGGAATGGAATTTATGTGAAAAACTTGGGATCTGAAGGGTTGGGACTGGATGAATTTACGTGTGACTTATGAATAAGACAAATGAATGAATATATATGTGTATGAATGAATGAACTGGTAATGCTACGTGAAACTATTTTGGCTTTTATGTATGTGTCTTTTATAGAGACAGGAGAGACAGTAAAGACAGTAGAAATTAATTAGATATTTACACTTGTAGAATTCCCTATCTATTTTCGTCTCTAATACTTGGCAGTGTTAAAAGGAAGCCTCTATTGTCAATATGTCTTTAACTAAACCTGGTTAGCACCCAACTATGTCACTTCATGTATAAGCTCCCAGGCACGCAGTTACCATCACAAGATGGTATCCAAACAGTCCTTTTATTTCAGCTCCAAAAATGTTCAATATTTCCAATGGCGCAAGCTAATGCGATTGCATTCAACATTGGCGCATTCATCTCAACACTCTTCCTTCTCGAATTCGGAGCCGACAAGTTCATCGCCCATGCCGCCGCCATCGCAAGCCGCATCGGCGTCTCTCAAGTGACGATTGGACTCGTCACCGCGGGCGCAGAATGGGAAGAAGTAAGTGATTTTTTTTTCCGGCACTCGATGGGCTGTTTTTGGAACAAAGAATCCATTTTGCTGATGCGAGTCATCCACCCCCCCCCCCGCTTTGGCCCAGCTTGCGGTTGTTGTCGCGTCTCTGGCGCAGGGCCGCCCGTCCCTGGCCATTGGCAACGTCGTTGGCTCGGCCATCTCCAACATCCTGGGCGCCTTCTCGCTCGGCCTGCTGTGCTATGAGGGCGGGAGCGCAGTCGAGTTTGATAGGAGCGCTCGGATCTATGCCCTGTTGACGATTGTGCTGACGACGCTGGTGGTTCCGGTTATTTGCTTCCCGACGAGAAGTGTTTGGCTGGTTTGCGGGCCGCTGCTGGTGGCTGTGTTTGGCGTTTATTTCTTGCTTGTGGCCGTGGCGATTGGGCGAGGCGTCCTTGTCGCACCGGAGGACTCGGACAGCGACGGCGATGATGACGATGAGATCGATGCAGGCTCTGTGGGGAGCGCGACTGGTCTGCTCTCTGATGGCTCTAATCCGAACGTGAGACGGCGCCGACGACTCAGCCATCACGGATTCTACCTCTTGTTTGGATTTCTCGCCATATGTCTCGCCAGCTATGTGCTCTCCCAAGCGGCAATCAACATCGTCGACCAGCTCGGCATGTCCGACGTGCTCTTCAGCGTCATCATCCTCGCCATCGCCACGACGCTCCCGGAAAAGTTCATAGCCGTGATGAGCGGCTACCGCGGCCATGCTGGGATCCTCGTCGCCAACTGCGCCGGCAGTAATATTTTCCTCTTGTCACTGTGCTGCGGCATCATCATGACAGACACGGGGGGTGATTTGAAGGGGGAGAATGTGAAAATGTCGGAATTGGCCGTGTTGTGGGTTTCAACGGCTGCGTTTGCGGCGACGGTGTGGTTTGGTGGGAGGGTTGCGCGGTGGATTGGCGGATTGATGGGTGTTGGTTATGTTGCGTTTATTGTATTGGAGTTTGCTGTGATTCATAGAGTCGTGGATTGACGTGCCATTCTCGGATCTGGAATTGAATACTAATAAAACTGGTATTTTCAGTAATTATATTACCATCAATCATCTGTTTTTTTTTTCTCCCCCCTACGTATGGATTAGGCAAATCCTTTACTTCCCCTTCACCCAGCTACAAAACAAATGTTGATAAGTAGCTATATAATAAGCATCTATAATAGCGGTAGAAGCATCTGACAGAAGTAATCAAAGTACATAGTCGAAGTGGTAAAAGCGTTTGGGTAGAAGTGGTATAAGCAGCAGAAGTAGCAGACGCAGCGTGTATAACTGCATATAACGAGCATTATACATTATGATCATCTTCCATAAACAACAAAAATGATAGACTCGTTTGCTGTTAATCATACCGACGAAAGCTTCAACATGGTGGATTCCGGTGTACTTGCCTCCAGAGCTCTTTGTGCACAATCTCAATGACATGTGGACCTCCATCACTACATGTACCTGCAACCATTCCGAATAGTCAATAATTAACCCAAATCAAAGGTCTGAAACCTCTAGAAGCACCGGATGGCTCGTCATTCTTCAGAATAGCAACAAGCTCACCTAGGCGAAGAAGTTCATGCTTGTCCCATTCGCGTGGTTGATTTCCGTCGGGTACAAGGTCGTAGTCTTCTTCATCTTCATATTTAGCTATTTCCAAAATCAGTCAACTTTTCAGACTGGAAAACAAACATGCTCTCGGTCCTTCTGTGCAGGTGTCCCATCTTCGCATGCGCAATCGCATCCGTTATTTCGTACCACTCATCCCCTCTCTTCATGCTGTGATCTAACCTTTCATCATTTTGCTCGTTCCATTTTAATGCTCTAAGCAGCTCACCTTCTTGTTCATCAAACTTGTTTAAACCAATTCGTTCAATATGGCGCGGATTATCGTCCAAACAATCGGCGTTATCCAGCTGAGAAGGATCTATTTCATGGACGTCATGACCGTGGCCAAAATCTGAATCCATCAGCTGCAGATAAAAGTCCATCATTCCGTGTACCTTGCGTTTTGAATTATAAATATCCTTGCCAAGGTGAGATGAAATGTTTTACCAAACTTTCTTTCAGAAGAGGTGCTTTTGTTGGTGGAAAATCCGCCGGGCCTGTAGCCCGCATCCAATACTTCTGGCATAGCAATCGCAACATGGCCATTTTCTCGGATCTCGTCTTCCTTGACCACCATCCATGGCGTGACCCTTTATAACAGTTAGAGCTTTCATCCTCATCAAGCATATAAGAGAGCATTTCTGCTAGATGCACACTAGACGGGGCCCTTGTTTTCTGTGCCATTGCATCGGATTTCATCTTGCTTTCACGGAGAGCATTTCCCAAGTCGAGAATTGCAGATCCTGGTCCCTCTTATAGACATAGACATGTGTGGTCACAGGGAAAAAGCGGTTGAGTTGGAGCAGAAATATTAAGTTATTGCACATCAACGCCGTATAACAAGTAGGTCCAGGAGCCATTTCATGAGATTTTCTTCTTAACAGTTAGAGAGATTTGTGTATTTGCAGGTTTCCCGTATATTCCACTTTAGAAGCCATAAAAGTTTGATTGGTAGGAGTAATAGAGGTAGGAGGAGAGCAGAGGAGAAATAGCAAAAGTAGTAGTAAAGTCTAGTACCAGTGGTCGAGGCTTTAGAAGTGCTATTAATTGGCACCATATGTAGAGCCGATTGTTTGTTTGTTTGTTTTATTACTGGCATTTGAGCCACGGCTGAGCAACAGGACAGGAACAGCCGCTGGTTCAGATCGCGCGTTTACGTTTCAGATGAAGAAATAAAAGTGTAGTATCAATCTAAATCTTGGGGCGGCGGGCTTGTTTCCTCCATTAGTTTCTGAAAGTCTTTATACCCCTTGAGTCTTACTAGGTAGATAAAGGGGGTGTGGTTTGCCCATAGGTCTTTTTCCAGCACATCTCGTAGAAAGGGAGAGGCCAAAGGCAATCATAATCACAGACTTCATAGCATCATCATGATTTCAGACTTTGTGACCACTAAGTGAGAGATACATTGTTTTGAATTTAATTACCCCTTATTTAAGCTTCCTTTCGCATTTATATATACAGCATGCGCAAAGTATGTTAAATATTGGTATTGGGGTTCCACAGGCTAATAATTTTTACGCTTTTCATATCGTTTAAATGTATCCGTTAGTCGACAGCCACTGCTTCAGTGCAGCCGAGTCACGCTTCTTGTACGCAGCCCTGCCCCTAATTCTGTCCTTGGCCGTCTCCAGCGTACGGTCAAAGCTGTGCGTGTCCTTGTCCTTGAAGAACTCCTCAACCTCGTCGAGGACCGCAGCGTCAGTAAAGGTCTTCAAGCTGAGGCCAACGAAGCGGTCGACAACAATGGGGTTTCCGAGCTTGGCGACGACAAGGTCCCAGTTGTTCTTCATAAACTCCCACTGGATGGCACGGCCGCTAGGGTGAGCGGCCAGGTTGCCACCAAGCACGTGCATATCGGCAGCAGGGACGGAGTTCTGGGGAGGAGAAGAGTTGAAGTTGAAGGGGACGAGGTTATTCTTGATAAGATCGGCATCTTCCACAGTAGCAAGGGAAGCGAGGGCAATGAGCTTGCCGTCGATAGCCTTGGTATTGAACCACTCCTTCTTGAGGACTTCGACGTTGCGAGCGGCATTGTCGGCAAGACCAGCGCGCCAGACGACGCCTCGGAGAGACGGGTGGATGGGGTTGGCCTCGGGGTTTTCAACCCAGGCGTTGAATCGCTTGATACCTTCCGCCTTGACCCTGTTCAATGGTTAATAATGCTACTTGCTTTGTCGTGTTTATGCGCTCAAGAGAACAAACAAACAAAACAAGAGAAAATTTACTTACTCGGGGTGGCCAGCAGAAATAGCGTTTGCAAGGAGCTCCTTGCGCAGAATACCGCCGAGGTAGTCCTCGCCCTCTGGGAACTCCCATCCAACCTCCTTAACCTTCTCATCAATCAGCTTGACGGTAAAGTTGGAGAGACCCTTCTTAATCTCCTTGTCCTCTTCAAAGACAGATTTGAGGTCACTGATGCAGCCAAGAACCTGGCTCCAGACGAGGGGGTGAGTCTCCTTCTGGAAGCCCTGGATAAAGGTCAGGAGGGCTGAAGAAGAGCTGTTGCCGGCGAAAGCAAGATCCGCAGTCGAGCCAAGGGTGAAAATCTTGTCCTCAGTGCCAAGCTTATTGAGCTGAGTGCTCAGCTTAGCCAGACGGGAGGGAGGGTAGGCTACACGGTAGAAGCCAGTTGCGTTGCTGTTGAGCTTATAGAAATCCTCATCAATGTCAAGGATGGTATCCTCCCTCTTGGTCAGGGACAGATCGGCAACGCCAGCCTCACCCTTCTTTCCTGCCACACCAAGGGGAACCCACCAGGTGGTGGTGTCATCTTCGGGCTTGACATCACCGGTAAGCAGGAAACGGGACTGCTTGATGGCAATCTGTCCGGGCTGCTCTTCAACAGTCAGGACCGGGTGTCCAATCTTGGAAATCCAAGGATACATGATTTCGTTAATGTCCTTGCCGGAGGCCTCGGTCAGCGCATCCCAAAGGGCCTTGGTCTTGGCATTGCCATAGGCGTGAGCCTTGAGGTAGTTGGAGACACCCTTGAGGAACGTCTCAACACCGAGATGGCTGGCAAGCATGCGGATAGCAGAGCATCCCTTGAGGTAGCTGATGTGGTCAAAGATCTGGTTCACGTCGAGAGCGTCACGGACGGGCACGTGGATGGAGTGACTGGCACGGATACCGTCAAGGCGGAAGGCACTTTGCATGCCCTCGTTGACGAACTGAGACCAAACCTCCCATTCAGGGTGCAGGTGGTCGACGGCGTGCCATCCGACCCAGGTAGCGAAACCTTCGTTGAGCCACAACTCATCCCACCAGTCCATAGTAACAAGGTTGCCAAACCATTGGTGAGCAAGTTCGTGAGCAACGACATAGGCAACAGAGTTCTTGAACCGGGCATCGGAAGTCTTCTCGTCGAAAAGGACCTGGGTAGTGCGGTAGGTAACGAGACCCCAGTTCTCCATGGCACCGTGGGTGAACTCGTGGACGGCAAGCAGATCGGACTTGGGAAGAGGGTAGTCAATGTCGAAGATTTCAGAAAAGTAGTCGATAATCTTGGGTGCGTGCTGGAGAGCCCAACGGCCCTGTTCCTTCAGGCCACGAGTGGTGTAGACACGGACGGGAATCTGCTTTCCATTGTATCGGCGGTCGGTCAACTGCTCGATGTACTCAAAGTCACCGACAGCCCATGCCAGGAGGTAGGAGCTCATAAGAGGAGAAGTCTCGAAAGACACTACGTGCCATCCTTCCTTGGACGGCTTGATCTCCTTGACGGGCATGTTGCTCAGGGCGACCTGATCGACAGGGATCTCGACATCAAGGTCGTAGGTGGCCTTCAGGTTGGGCTCGTCGAAGCAAGGGAAAGCTCGGCGGGCATCGCAGGATTCGAATTGGGTGCTGAGCATGTAGTGCCACTCGTCGTCGTGGGGGACCGAGGCGGCGGGAGTTTCGGCGGGCCTGTATTTGCTGCGGTAGAAACCAGCCATCTCATTGTTGATGATGCCTTCGAATTCGATGACGACGGAGGCCTTCTTGGAAACGGGGATCTCCTGGTCAAAGGCAATGGTGACACGCTGGGCCTTTTCGTCGTAGGAGACGTTGGAGGACTCCCACTTCTGCTCAGACTTTGTGTGGTCTACTAGGACCTTGGCATTGTGCACCTTGAGCTCGAGGGAGTTGAGGACAACCTCCTTGGTAGGCTTGACGATTTCGGATTGGATGCTGTCATGGATGAATTGTGTTAATTGGCAATTGTAGAAAATGGGTATGCAGAGTAGAGGAATAAGCTGCAGCTGCTGAAGCTACCACAGCTGATGGGCGGTTACTTACGTCACAGTGCCCTTGTAGGTCCAAGCCTTGAAGTCGAGGTCGCGCAAGGACAGAACATAGTGAGAAGGCTTGATGTTGTCGGGGAGAACGTCGCGGTCGGTCATTTTGTTCGGATTCGCTGCTCTGGCGTGCGCAGAGCAAGATCGAGAGGGTATCAAAGGAAGATGACTATATGGAGGAGAGAGGGGAGGAGGGGCAGCAAGTTAGTCTTTTGAATGGAGCTCGTATGTGCCAATTACCTAAGCAGTGCTGAGGCAAAGTGCGTAAGACGTTGGTGGAAGTTGCAGTGGATAAGAAGATGCCGAAAAGGGAAAAAAAAAAAAAAAAAAAAGAAAGAAAATGATTTGTAGGGGAGGCTTGGCCGGATTCAAAGCTCCAATCCGAGTTGAAGCTCGTCCCAGCTCTTGCATTTTTGTGCCTTTAGCGGCCACCAAGTTCCGCATTGAGCCGCTGGCCGTTGCGGGGCACCGCGGCGTTTGGTGCGGAGCCACTGTTCGGGGCTCGTTTTTTTGCAAAAGTGCCGTGCGATGGAAAAAGATGCCGAAAGGGGGGTGATGCATTGAATTGGAAGGTGGAAGGTGGAAAGGTGAGCGCTGAATATTGAAAAAGGCGGGAGATTTTGTTGTTCATCCTCGCATTGATTGTGCCTTCAATTTCATTTTCTCTTTTTCGTCCTTCTTCTCGTCTGACCTCATCTGGCCGGGGTTGGGCACCACCAGCTTCGGGTCCCGGAACCGTGGCTTGCCGCTAAGCCTTTGCGTTGCTGCGCCTAACCCACCAATGTGAAGGACTTGGACGGCAGGATGTAGCGCCGAGAGGAGCCAATCAAATGATGGCAGCAGAAGAAGGCGGCTGCGAGTGTTTGATGAGGCCATGGATGAGGAGGAAGATAGCAAGACGCCGGAAAGCAGCTGGGCGTTTGCCTTGCGGATTGGTGAATGAATGGATGGACGAGGCATGGTATGGAATGAATGGAGTGATGGATGATATGAGAGGGCAAAACAATAGAGAAAAATTAAAAGACATACCTTCGAATGCCAACCCCAGAAGAAGGAGACCAAGATGAACCAGAAGACGATGAGAACAGAGACCGAGACCGAGAAGAAATTGATACTGACGACACGGGCCACAAGGCTGAAGACGCAGTCAAAGAGCCATGAAACCAACGCCGGGTCTGAAAAGCCGCTGCTCCTCGTCCCAGCCCAACCACGCCCGCCGTGCCACCAACCCTTGGCCTCACACACCTCCATGCAGCAGCAGCAGCAGCAGCAGCCGATGCATCACCACCAGCAACAACCGGCCGCAGACTAGGAGTCGGCTTCGGTGCAGTGGCCGACGCAGCAAGCACCAGCCGCCTCGTCACCCACCCGCTCATAACGGGCAAAAAAAAAAAAAGATTTTTTTTTTAAGTAAAAGAGATGATCTTCCCACCCAAGACGTGTGTTCACCTCATGACAAAACAAGAAGAATAAAAGATTGTGTTTAGCTCAAAGGGTGAAATAACCCAATTGAGCAATAATCTTCCTTATGAGGCCTATTACAAAAAAGATATGATATACAGGTACATAGACCTTAGTGTGTAGGATAGAAGTTGAGAAAAGCACCAAATTCCCGCTTTCTGGCTCCACTATTTTGAGAACAATGGTCTACAGTATATCAGGCAATTCCTCCCAATCAGCCAACAACTCCTTCGCAAAACGGGCACTTTTGTAGCCCATGTGTCCCGCAAATCTGCCAATTGTGTGACAGGCAGCGCATCATAAATAGATATACAAAAGGACCTTTACCAAATTGTACGTAAAAAGTGCAAAATCCTCCCCTGATCTCCGCTTCGGCTTCGGCTCTCATCTGCAGTGTTACCAAGCCGAGAGCCGAGATCAGACGCCAAGTCCGACTACAAGCGTCTACATTGTTGGGGCAGAAATTAAGCAAGCTTTCTCTTCAAATCATAGATTCTTATTCTCATCTAGATCTAGACAAAGAGAACAATTTAAAGAAGCAAAAAAGTATAAAGGAAAAAAAACAAACAAAAAACGCTGTCCTCTCGCAAGCATATACCTATACCTATATTAAACATGACAAAACCAGAAGATCGCTCTCAAAGGAACCCATATCAAATCAAGTAAAAAAAAAATGATGATGCGCTTGAAAATAACATGGAAGAAACAAAATGATAATGAGAAAAAAGAAAAAGTACCATCAAAAGACGCTGCTAAGCACCTGCTCTACCCAGAATGGCTCCTCAGTTAAAGATGTGCACACAAACAAGTAAGCATATGATGATAAGGTAGTGTTTCCCGTAAAACGCCGTGTTGTAGAAAGCTCTACTCAAGAGCCTCAGTCTCCAAGAATCTCAACTAGGAAAATGGGGAGAACAAAGAGAGAACAAAAGAGAGAGTATGATAAATGAAGAACAATGCAAAAGGAAGACAAAAGGCAGAGACTAGGCAAGCGCCCTGATTCATCTATCCTCTAGCAACAAGGCGAGGCTAGATACGGGGTATAGCATTGGTATAGATGACAATGCAATTCAAGCATTTGACTCTTCCTGCTGTACTTTGGCCGCAACAGCATCCCACCACTGGCTGTGAGCTGCTCGATCAACCGCTCCAACCTTGTCCAGCAAGTCAGACATTTGCCTAACATTCTCAACAAACTCGGACAGTCCAAGACTGGCCAGCTTCTCGCCCGCAGTGTTGGCAGCCTTGACCTTTTCACTCGCCGATCCGGATGCAAGACGAGCCAGGATATTGCCTCGTAAACGAGTGAGAAGGAGTCGTAGGACTGGGTCGCGCGGCTCCGTAGATCGGGCAGACATCTCCCGACTCGCCGTCAACACCTTGGTCACCAAAGCACGCAGGTGAGTCTTGGTGGGAAGGGGCATAGAGCGGCCCGCCTCCAGAGCAGCCATGACACCGTCAACCGCCGTGTCCACCGATGCGTGATTAGCCTCGAGGACAGCCATGACACGAGCCGCTTCCGTCTTCCACGCTGAACGTACATCTCGTTTCATGAGATTCTTGCATTGCAGCAGCACGGCACCAGCAGTAATGATTCGCTGAATCATGATCGACACCTGGTTGATGCGGGCCTGGTCAAGGCGCAGCATCTCTGGAATCTGCTCCGGGCCAACAGGGGTAGGTTGTGTAAAGACATCCACAAGCATCTGAGCATAAATCTTGGAGGCAGTTGGTCGTGACTTGGGGTGGTTGATGCCCTCGACGTCCCGTTTCTGAACCTCAGCCATTACCTTGGCCCTTGCCGACCGCCATGCTGCTTCGGCAACCGGTAGATCATCCCGCTTGTCTCCTTGCTCCTCAGCGAATCGTTTAGACTCATACGTAGCAGCTGACTCAATCAGCGATGGGGCCGCCGCCTTAAGCAGGTAATTTATGTAGTCGCAAAGCAAAACATCGACAAAATGATCCAGAGCTTCAATCTTGTCAATCACGCTGCCGTTGCTCAGTCTGTTTTGGACCAGATCCTTGAGCTGGTCATCCCGGAATGGCGCGCAGAGCTTGGGCAGAAGGGACGCCATGGCCGAGAAGAACTTTTCGTATGAAAAGCTCCCCATTTCAAACTGCTTGTGCGCAATTTCCACGTCCAAGATTTCGCCAATCAGGTTGTACATGGGGTTTCCCTCCTTCAAGGGTCGCTGGAGCCGGTCCTTGATGTGGCCGGCCCTGAGCATGAACAAACGGAAGTTCGCCTCCTCAGGGGCATCGTCCATAGCAGCCCTCATATGAGCGTACAGTGGCCGGGAAACGACGGCCTGCTTCTCTACATATTCCTCGGCTGGAATTTGGTACCTCTTGTTAATGGCCAGCTCGTGTACAATGACGCGATTGTCTGGAATCAGTCCGTTAAGCCCCGTCTTAGTTGTTGTTGTTGCTCTGGCCTGACTCTTGCTAGCTGGTGTTGACGGAGGAGTAAGCATTTGTGAATCCGACGAAACAAAGTTGCTAGCTGCTGTCGCTTGAGCATCTCCAGACGCATTTTCGCTGTCAGCAACTCGGGGCTTGGTATCGCCGAGTTTCTTGACCCTACGTGATTTTCTGGCTTCACATATTGCCTGGAAAATCATCTTCCTTCCCTTCTCCGCACCCGCCAGCTGCTTTATCCTAACAATTAGCATAAGCTGGCTGTCTTGGATGCTCTGTTGATAGAGCGCCGCGGCCGCTTCGTCCGTAGTCTCCTTGACAGTATGGAAGATGGCATCCAATTCCACAATCTGCATCAACATTACTTCAATAAGGGCGTCCGAGTCTCTGGACTTCCAAGCTATAAACGCATTGTAAAACGCCGAGTATGCCTGTGGAAAGGTCGTCTGCAGTGAAGGGGGCATGGTGTACCGGTTAGCTGGCGTCAGCCAAGCCAGAATATTTTCAAAGGAGATCAAGACATCCTTTGCCTTATCGACCAAGTCCTGCAGCTGAGGGTTATTCAAGTCTGTCGCGGGCAGTCGATGGCCGGCAAATAGCGCTTCCTCATCTTTAGCTTCGGCCCCTTCATCAACGTTATTTAGCACCTGGTTAGGATGCCCAAGAATGAGAAATGCGCTCAAAAAGGTGCGAACCGCAGCCATCTCCTCGACAGAGCCTGGTTCGCCCTCCTGGAGGCCACAAATCCTCAGAAGCTGTGATGTAATGAGCACGACGTGTGGCTGAGCGAGTAGATTGACAACAGCGTCAAAGGATGTATCTCGTATCCCGTCAACACTGAGGCCAAGGGCGTAAAACTGTTGGATAGTCTTCTTTCTCGCACATCCGCGCCACCAGGTCTGGATCTTGGTGGCTGCCTCGTCGTCACTCAACGCCGGACGTAGAGCCACATCCTTTGCAAGGGGCAGTGCCTCGGCAGAAGACTTCTTAGCAACGACGCTCTGGCCCCTGGCGCGCTTCACTGCGGATTTGTTTAGAAGCTCCTCTCGCCGTTTCTGCGCTTCAGCCATGCGCTCCTCCATCTGCGCCTTCATCTTTGCAATTTCTTGCTCGCGGCGCTCCTTTGTTGACTCGGCAACCAGCTTGGCCTTTTTGACCTCTTCGGCGCAGTTGGCCACGATTTCAGCCAAGTTGCGCTGTCGTGCCTGTTGCGCCGCCAACGCACGTTCCTCCGAGGCGGTTTGTCCACGAGGAGCCGCCTTGGCCAAAGCAGCCCTCAATCGAACCTTTTCAGCATGAGCAGCCCTATCAGCTAGCCGGGCCCGGCGGTCCTCTAGGAAGTTTGTGCGTCGTACATGCTGTGCATTATATTTGCTCTGGTCGCTGTTGCGGCGGCTGGTGGGCTGGATGGATGAGCAGCGGGAGTGGGCGGAAGACATGGAGTTGCGGCGCGATGAGGCAGCTGAATCCCTGCGGCGTGTTTGCGAGGGTCGGTAGAAGCGAGCGGCGATTCGTGGGGGAGGCGTAAAGATGCGTCTTTCGTTATCCTGCATGTCTTCTTCCACGGATGGCATGCCAAGAGCAAAATCCATATCTATGCCCAGGCCTACGTCGTCGTCTGAGAATGCGCAGTCGGAGTCTTCAAAGTTGTCCACGGGGTCCGTCAGGTCAACAGAAGAGCGACGCGCGGCGTCTGCCTCGCTGGTTTCGGCCATGGTGAGAGTTGTAGTTGCGACCGTAGGTAGATGTTGCTGCCAGTTCCGGCGGGACGGCCAGTAGCCTCTTTATAACAAAATACGAAACCAGCAGGCGTCGTCTGCAGCAGCTGGGGCAATGGAGGCCAATCCCTCTAGGCCACCGCCAGTTCGATGAGTGTATGTATAGACAAGGTAGGATTAGATCCAAGAACTAAGTATGCGCGGGGTGGTTCTTGTAATTTCGTCGGACAAGGCAGCGATATAGAGAGTGTGAGGTGGTGCGCCGCTTCGTCCTGGTGCAAATACCCTTTTACCAGGCAATGCTAAGAGAAAAAAAAATCGAGGTATGGCTTGTGCCAAAAGAGGATTAAACAATACCAACAGGAGAGAAAAGCGAAAGACAGACAGAGGCCTCACTGCAAAGAGACGCGATGTGGTATTAGAGGAAAAGGCCGTCAGAAAAGGCCCCCGGTCCGAGTTTCACGAGCTCTGCATGCATACGAGGCTGGTTTCGAAGGAGGAATCGACAGAACAGGGTGGTGAATCAACGATGACGGATGACTGATCCGGATTTACAGAAGGGGAAAGGCGGTGTCGAGGCGGTGGAGGGGGGCGGTACCGGTACCTGGGCGCGAGTCGCCTAGCAAGTGCCTGGAGTGCTGCAGATGAGATGCTGGAGCTTGCTGCAGGTCATCTTCTTGGGTACAGAGAACCTAGCAAGAGAGCGCAGCACTGCTTTAGTTGCGGTGCCTGTAAATGCGTACTACTACTACTACTACTACCTTACATACATGTCTGCCCCTTCAGAGCGCTCCAGGGGCCATTATGCGCACCCGGCTCTGTACGTATGCACAGCCATGCATGTCCTATTTATTATCGGGTGTACTCCGTATTGTTCACTGATTACCAAGTAACATTGAAGTGCTCCAAGTGGTATCACCATTCAATCTCAGCACAGCCCAGGCCGCCAAGCATCAATCAAAGTACTGGTACCTGGGCACTGAACGTCATCTGCGCAGGCAAAGAGGTCATGCAAGTGTATCGAGTCAGCTCCAGGGCAGCTTTCGACTGCCTAATTGGCCTCTCGATAATCCTTGCTAAAAAACAACGGGCGCCTAATAGGCATTCACCTGTGCTTTGAGGAATACGAATTAGGTAGCACTATTGCAGCAAATGCCATCCAGGCGACAACAACGATATGCAGGAGGGCGTCAATTGCTTTTTACTGCCATCAATACTCGGCTCGGCTCCAGCCCAACAACTGCATTATTGCAGTAGTAGCAGCAGCAAGTAGCAGTACCTGTACCTCATAAACAGCGGGGGTGTTAATATGAGACACCCACCGATTGATTGGCAATCACCTTCCATTCCTTTCCACGCCAGCCATCCCCAGCACTTCCTCATCTGGTGCACAAAGCAAGTCAAGAATCGGGCTACCGGGTTTCAGAGCAGAGGATTGTCATATCATGGCATTGCTCATCTTCCATGGCATGGGAGGAGCTAGCATCGGTCATGTTTCTCTTCCCGGCCCCTGGGCGTTGGGCAGTCACCGCGCAGTACCGTACTTGTCTGTGTACTTTCTCGCTGTACTCGGCGTGTCAATTTCAATCTAAACCCACAGCTCTCTTATTCAGAACCCCCCGTTCTATTAATAGCACCGCCGTTCCGAAGTTCAAATCCACATGCTACTTTATACTACTTCGATGGAGCACGGCAGAATGAACGAATAGAAGAAAAGAAGGGGGCAAAACATATACATGGCCAGTAGCAGATCTGGTTGCCTAGGTGTGCTTTTACAGCGTGTATTTATGCTATTCCCCTGACGCGCGCGCACACCGTTGCCCAGATGCAAGCACGATATCAGATGGACCCCTACCCCAGAAAATCAGAATAAAANAAAGAACATGCGCGTAACTCCGGGAAACCCGTGCTCGAATAATAAAGCATGTACAAGCTGACGTCGACACTCTACTCACGCATATCCATATCCATCTAATCCCACACGGCCAACTCTCATCCCATATCCGCTCCGCCGGGCCACTTTCGCCGTCCCCGCGTACGCCGCAAGACACAGAGGCATGCATGCATATGCACGTCTTTCTTGTCTCGGGCCCATCACCTCCATGCGCGCAACGCACGCGACCGACCCCCCGTCGACAGCCCCGACTTTTTTTAATCCATCCCTGGAAAGCTCACTTTTTTTTTTTCTTCCCTTTTCTCTTGTCTCATTGACATGCACGTCATGTTCCCACTTTCATTGCCGTTTAGACGTATTTTCTCGTAATACAAGCGGTAATGGCTTGCAGTGAAACCTATAGACAATAGCCAAACCTATATTAGATGATAGCCATATCAAAGCCTTTGAATTTTTGCTATTTCGTCTTTATGAACGACGAAATATATATCTCAACATCATGTTTTCACAACTATAGAGCAGTAGTAATGTGGAACGAATTATCAAACGTGTAACACTAATTCAGTCCCCTTGGGTTTACCATCTTTCAAGCAAAGATGTATATATAATATATAATATGTACATATACTCTGTAGTTGTGCGTGTGTGTGTGTGTCTGTGTGTTGTGTTTTACCAATAACCATGCCATGCCATCGTATTTCCTCCCAGTCGACCATTTACGCTTCCTGTTGTTCCGCGTAATGCATTACTCTTCCATAAAAAAAGAATTGAAAAAAAAAAAAATAATAATAATAATAATAACAATAAAGTTCAATCCTTGCCAACGCCGGTTCCCTTGCTGTGCCTGCTAATCTTTTTGCTCTGCTTCTGCTTCCGCTCTACTCATACTAATGCGTAAAACTCTTTCTGGCCCCAAGGTTTTTACCCGCAGGCCATGATGCATTCTAGAAATTATTGTGAAGAGAATATAAAAAATGAAGAATAGTAAAAAGTTCAATCATGCGAATTGGTAGCTCTCGCTACGGGGTCGTCTGCCGTCAGGCCCTACCCTTGCTTTTTCGTGTAGTCGATTGACCCATTCTAGGACCGTCTCGTAGCACAGCACATACTGTTGTAGGCTCTGAACCATGCTGATTCTCTGCTCACGGAAGTCTTCTACCGTCTTTTGGATCAAGTCAAGTGAATCATCTTGCATCCAAGACAGATCAAGGGATGGGTGCTCCTCAATCTTCCTCTCCTCAAACGTGGGCGGGTGGCCCAGATCGAATTTGAAGCTCATCTGCCTGTTCGTCATGGGGGAAATGGCATCATCAAAATCTTCCATGGGCACGTCGGCTGTTGACCCTTGCGCTTGTGGCTGTCCTCCCGCTAGTTTGGATAGTCGTTGGCGTTTCATCATGTCAATCACGCTGTCGACAGTGCAGAAAGCTCCTGTCCGGCCACAGCCTGCAGAGCAGTGGACCAGCATGGGACGACTCGCGCTATCGGCTTCGGGCTCGTCATACCAAGTAACTGGCGCAAGGCCGTTGGCAATCTTGCTGGAACCCACAATCGAGGCCGTTTCAACAGGAAGAGCCGCCCGCTGCATGACGTTGGCGAGCTCCACTAAAGCGAGGAGGTGAGACGGCTGTGCAGGCGCTCCAAAGTCGGGCCATGAAGAGAAATGCAGATGCGTAATTTCTCTGATAGGTTCAAAGGGGTGGGCTGAGTGGCTGAGTGAAAACTTCCGAACGGTGACAAACGTTTCGGGCTGTGCTGGAGTAGGGTTCGTTGCAGGCGCTTCCAGAGTAGTGGTTGTGTTTGCTCGTTTTCGGCTAGCCTCGCCCGATGACATCGTGCTTTGGGTTGCAGCAGCATTAGATCGATGCTTGTCAAGGTCAAGAGACGCCTTTTTCTCCGATAGCTTCCTCAGCCTGATGGGGCCGTATTCACGGTCATTCCAATATGTGTGACACTTCGTTTGGCCGCCTTCAGATTCGGCAGTCAACATGATAATTACGCGTACATCTTGTTCCCAGATAACGGACCAGAAATCCTAGAAAGATCAAGATTAGCTGCTGCCAAGGATATTTCCCCCCCCCCCCCTGTTCCTACAAGGCGGTGCACGATACTCTCTAGTACTTACCTCAAACGTGGCGGGCAGAGGACCCTGGCTCGCAATATACCTCTTGTTGCTTCTGGAAGCTGTAAGATGACTGGCATTAATGTAGTCACAAGATCCCTCGGGCTTGTTCTGGAGCTTGACGCGAGCATGCTCAAAGGGGAGAATGTCCTTGTAGCGATTTTTGCCTCCCTTCTCAACACCACAGAGCTGGACTCTGCCGTTCATGGCGGGATTGTGGGACGGATTGTTCTCATTGAATGCGGCATACGCATTCTGCATCCGAGTCTTCTCATCCTGCTCAATCCGCAAAAATCGATCCGACACCTTCTTGCCATGGTCCGGCTGGTCTGCGGCATCGCGAAGCCACTGAGGAAGCACCTCTGGCTCAAGCCCTTGTGGCCAAGAGACATCTCGCTGGCCTACGCCATCTGCAAGATCCATATTCTGACGAATATTGGCAAAGAAAGGGTTCTTAGTCGTAGGTAGCATGACACCGCCAATCACAGGAGCCAGACCGCCAATGGGGCCAGGGCCGGCGTTTGATTTCGATGAGTCGCTTGATGAGCTGTCGATTAAGTCGGGATTTGTGCCTTGCAATCCTTGGAAGCCACCTCTCAGGATGCCCGTCTCCCCCAAGAAGCCCTCATTAGTGAATTTTTTAATCATATTCTGAGCTGCAACGGTATCACGATTATCTGATGAACGAGCATCATAAACGATAATCCAGGATGCGTCACGCCACGTGCTAAACTTTTCTCCCGCCGCGTCGTTGTTTTGGAACATCTGCTGCAGCTTTTCGGTGTTGTACGTCGCACGCTTCAGCAGAGTGGTGGGTATACATAGGTTGAGCGCTCCCCTAATTCGGGAAGCAGCGTAGTTTGTAGAAGAGCGTATATCTAGCAGTAGGATGTTTTCCTCGTCTTCTTTTTCAATAAGCTCCTTGAGAGCAGCGGCACTGATCATGGATGGCTGTCCAGGCTCCAACTTGGTTGGCATGGTGACTGATCTCCTGATCTCCGACATCTGGGGCGAAGGAGGCTCGGGTCGGTGCTCCATTACAGACAGTCGAGGATCTCTATCCTCAGACCGAGTCAAGCTTGTCCGGGATTGGATGGGATCCATGGGGCGCGGAGACTCAAACCGTGGAATGCTGCCTGGGAACTGCATGGTGGGCAAAGATGATTCCGAATTCCGCTTCGACTCAGATGACATATAGGCAGAGTCTTGAAGGCTAACTTGGTCAATATCCATACGACTTGGCGGGTGATCTCTGGCAGAGCTCAGGGCACGAGGAAATGAGCTTTCAGAGCCTGTATCACTAGCATGTGTGTGCCATCTGGGCGGCTGGGGGCGTTTAGGAGCTGGGGGTTGGATATAGTGAGAAGTCGATAGGGCAAATGAGGCTCCCCTGTTCAGGTCAACCTGCCGCCTGAAGGCCTCAAATTCAAACTCCGAATTGGCCTCGAGGGTAACAGGCTTAGGAAGAGCAGCTGCAAAAGACTTGACCGAAGATGATGCCGGACTCCAGTTGTTCCCCAAGCCAGAAGATTCTCGGGGATCGTGGGTAGAGTCGTTGACAACCAAGCCGAAGTAGTTGGGACTTGATGGACGCACGTCAGGTCGAAGCGGGGACAGCTTAGGCGGGTGGTTCTGGCCAACGGAATATGATGCGCGGGGAGATGATATGGGCGTCGTCGACATGCCGCCATTCAAGCCAGTGCGAGACGACAGCGAGAGGGAATGTGAGTGAGAAGTGATGGGTGCATTGGTCTTTAGTGTGTAGTGGACCGGCGTCCGGTCGCCGGCTCGAGAGTCATGCATGGCCTGGGCCTGGTGGTCAAGTGGAGGCGTCGATAGCATTTAAGATGGCGTTCATCGGCAGCTGGAAAGGCCTATAGCCAGGCTGATGCTGTGAGGTGAAGTGAAGGAAAACAAATCAATGATGAATAACAGACGAGGAGAGGCTTTTTTTTCCTTCTCGGTACCAGTGTCCCCGTTAACGGTGTCGAAGTCAGCTAGCTCAGGGCCGGTATTCCTCTTCTGAGTCGTTGGCTGCCGTAAAGTCGAATAGAATCAAGTAGATGGACGAAGAGTGATGAGTGGCAATCGTAGATCCTCGGTGGCTCTTTAAGTCGAACGTGGTGGCAAGAGAGCCGAAACGAGGGTCATAGAAAAAGGATGTGGCGCTGATATCTATAAACAGATGGGCGAGTACACACAGCCGAATGTGCGGTGCAAGGAAAGTGATCAAGGAGGAGTAGCAATGATGACAAGCTGGGATATGGCTTGTCTGCCGCAGGATCTAGATCGTGCCCGGCAAGACAAGAGGAAACGGATGACAAGAGGAAACGGATGACAAGGGAAAGGGGGGGTGCTCAGCAGAAGAACAGATGATGCTTTGCATACGAGGCGGGAAAAGATGGAGCAGAACCAAAAGCAAGAAAGACGAGTGAAGCCGAGAGAAGGCCCAGAACTTGGTTTGAGCCGCCGCCAGTCTCCTCGGCAGATGCGTCTTGGGTCCTGGGGAGAGAGATTGGATGAAGGGGGCAAAAGACGCTCTGGTGCTTCTCGTGTTGCAGAGTAGAGCCCTTCAGGTGCTTTGGAAGGGCCTAACGTTCTGGTGAGGATCCCACCCCAGGCGGGCCTTTTCGTCAAGATTAGCGCGCAGAAAGAAGGGGTTTTTTTCATGGGATTTTCTGGGCGAAGGGTGTGTGTGAGATTTGGGGCGAGCGGTGGGAAAAAGGGAGACGACACAACGCAAAGCTGCTAGCATGAGTACCGGCGTGTACAAGCAGCGGCAGCGGCAGAAGCAGCAGCAGCCGCTGGACGGGCCACGAGAGGGCAAGCTGGGAGTGCGTGTGGGAGAGCGACAGGGGTCGAGCAGCATGTACTGCAAGGTACCGCTGTGGGAAGGGGAGCTGGTCGTGTCGCGAGAGCGCAGTGTTGACTGGGACGGTGCGGCGCTGGTACTTGGCGGTACTCGGCGAGGGGGTGGATGTACCGAAGCATTTGGTGTGTCTACAAGGCGCTGGTATGATTCTGATGATGGATGATGATGATGATGATGATGATGATGATGATTGCCCAAACCAACCGCGTACGAGCACCAATGTGGCCGTATAGACAAGCAGAATGTGCAGAGGCTGAAGGGTTTTGCGGGTCTGGTCTACACTACGCAAGGCGTGGCGACGGCCTGGTGAGCGATGCCAGCAGCGGGCTGGTGCAGCAGAGGTACAACGAGGTACCTGGCCCGGGATGACGGCGGTGGTCCGGGGCTGGAAGAGAGAGTCGCTGGACGCTGATCGCGTGCGGTAGGGATCGTCGCTGGCGGAGAGAAAGAGAAGGGTCTGGGCCATGGCTCTGGTTTTGCAATCCGGTTTGCCAGGACAGGATCCGCGAAATGGGGGGTGCGCATTAACCTGCTAGCAGCAATCGATATTGCTTGCTCGCATGCTGCAGTGCTGTGCAATATCCAGGCCGAGTGAGGGGAGACGCTGGGCTCTCCGGTTTTTTTCTTTTCTCATTTGACTGGCAACGGGCTGCTCACCTGAGAAATGTCCTACTGTACAGCATGCCAGCACAAGATGGCTTCTTGACGAAGCTCCCTCCTCCTTGTCTCCCCGTAGCAGAACATACACAGCACAAAAAGAATCTCGTTGCTCTGATTACTTATTTGCGTTAACACACCAGCCCCTAACAAAATCAATCTCCCCCCAGGCCGGCCATCGATCCATCCATTCCGATACGGGCGTCTCCTCCTCCGTTAGGGCCAGCCAGGCCAGTCCTGACCCATCAATGAGACAGCAGCAGCGTCAAGCATTCGCAAAACGCTGCAGCCACCGTTCCCGACACACAGGCACACAGGAAAAGCTCCTCCCCCCGTTTGGGTCGACCGTCGAGTCCCAAAGGAGGCTCCACCACCATCGTCATTGCGGCGCCAAAAGTTCAAGGGTCCCCGCTAACAGCCCCCCCAATAGGTCCCCGTAAAAAGCCCCCATCCACGGCGCCAGGGCCAACCAGAGAGCGGGTGGCGCTGCCGCAAAACGTCACCGGCCCCTTTGAGTCTTGGTCGCTGCGAGTCTAGACTTTTGGAGCCCCAAAAGAAAAAGCGGCTCCGCGATGCTCCGTGTCTCTACATCCCTGTCGCCTTGTACCGCCTTGTAGACGCTGCGATACTTTGGACGTCCAGCTGCTCCCCCATGTTTTCATCATGGTTGCTTCAGAATGGCATAAGACTGCTACATAGTAGCTCAACGCACGATTCGAGATTGGAATTGCTTCACGAGCAGAGTTCGAATCCATCACAAGCCTCCATGTAGAGAGCCGTCCACAGCCCAGGCATTCTCTCCCTTCTGCTGCTGCTGCTGCTGCTACTGCTTCATCTCCACCAGCATCGTCACCAGCACACGAAGAACAGAGCACGAAAAAGCAAGTGCTGCAGCTAGCATCCCGTACTCGTGCTACTGCTACGATTACTCGGACTGGGCTAGCAGCGGTGCCAGCCAGCGATTGATAATCACGGGCTAGGGATTTCGCTCCATCCACCAGCGCAACGGGTGCCTGCCGCGGAAGCTTGATTTGATTCTTGTGCCAATCCAGTGCTCTGCAGCTGCAAATTGCCGGCTGGTCACGCTCACCTCATACACGGGCAGTCGAAGCGAATTGTCATATCGCACAGAAGAGGGCACAATGCTGTTGCTGCTGCTGTTGCTGTTGCTGTTGCTCCCTTTCCCTGCACTGTAGACGGTACCTAACAGCCCTGAAGGCGCCTACTGCGCGGTACCTCGCTGTACTTTGTCCGCCTGTGTCCCGCCTCCCCCAAGACAAAGGCGCGCCAAGGCGAGCGGCCAGCTGAGATTTAAAAACGGGGGAGCACAAGGGCAGCTCTCCTTTGGGCGATGACGTAGCCGTCTCGAAACGGCATAAGGGCTGTAAGCGGCGTCTGTCCGCCTTCCTAAACGGTGCCAGCATCCTCAATGGAAAAGCAGACCACGATGCAGAGCTGCAAATGCAACTCGGCGCAGCAGAGGCAAGGCGTAACCACAGGAAAGGGGCCGTCGAGATGGAAAGATGGTGATGGACAGGCACGAGCATCAAAACATGGCCGCAAGTGGACTATCGATAGCGGTAGCATGTATATCCATGCACGCTACGCGGTACTAACATATACACGAAAAGCTACACACCACACCCTTCACTCTCTCCCTTTGGCAGGCCTCGTCTGTCTGTAAGGCGTGCGTGGACAAGTCAGCGAGTCCCTTGTCTTATGCGGAGTGCTCGGAGCAGTATGGAGTCCCTCAATGCCATTGACAGCTCCAGACCACTGCCGTTTCTCCTTCTCCCGCCTCTGCGTTTCCAGACTCGTCCATGCCCAACATTCAGCGTCGTATCCCGATTCCTGTGAGCGCAGCACTTGGCCATCTAGTCGCTCATCTCACTCTTATTACACCGGTGACAAGGCCAGCCGCTCAGATTCCCCAAAAATGCTCACGATCGGTCAAGAGTTGCCAGTTTTTGTGTGCCCCTGCTCGGGGCCCCTCATCTGCCATCCACTAAGGATGCATTGCATCCCTCAGTTTGTGTTGAGATGGTGACCCCAGCAGGGCTTCGGAGCGTGGCTGACTTTTGCAAAGTGCTGTAGTTTCAGGTATCACAGCATCCCTCCTACAGCAGAGATAAGTCTCCGAAGATCAGCAGCCAACGGAGCGAGTATGTAATGGCACCACATTCGGCTGCTCCATAATAACGGCGCATCACTAAAACTTCAAATACGAAGGAAAGCAAGCCCCATAGTCCAGGAACGCTGTGCATAACCTCTTTCTCTCTAGTAACGGTAAGAGCAGGTAAAGCGGGTAGCTGGAACCATAGTCCATATGTCAAAACATGCATATATTTTGCTGCCAATAAAACGCAGAACGAGACGATATTCTAAGAGTATTCCGCAGCTCATTCGTGCTACTGCTGTCATTAGTCCTTTCTACTAAGCCTATGTTCTATTAAGTATTAGAAATATCAGCAAGGGGTGAACCCGGGATTTACTCTCAATGATTTTTTTTTCTGGCCTTGGGCCTGGCCCGATTTCCGAGTCACGCAATCTCTGTCAGGTCACGCAATCGTCAAAACACCATTTTCCCCACAACGTCTCATGAGGTCTGGTGCACGCGAACAGCGATCCCAGCGGGATTGGGATAAAAATCCTGTCTTTGGGGGTTCCAGACCTCTGAAAATCCGAGGCCGCGAACGTCCGAGGCCTTGATGAGAAAAAAAAAATCGAAAATCTCGGTGCATTTCATTTTCAAGATTCTCGTAAGGCTGGCCTCAGCTTCTCCTGCTGACTGATGTACAGTAAACGATTCCAAGGCATTATCAGGTCATTTCAAATCTGCACTAGCATCTTCTCTATTCCCGCTTTGCAAGGCACCATGATTGGTCTATGGCCTTGAATCCGATCCAAGTTAGTAGACTTCATCGCTCGGCGAGAAATAGCGTGGCAGCACCAGCAAAGCAGCTCGCAACGACCACCGCCTGCCCACCACGTCTTTTTTTCTCGACGCACAGAACACCTGGACTAACAACAAGCACCCACGTATCCCGCTAGGCAGCGGCTGGATGGAGGTGCTTGAGGGGGAGGGACCTGCAAATAACGCACGCTGCTGCCCTGTTACTGACGGTTCTCGCTAGTGCCTTATATTCGAGGTTTGGTGTTGGATTGTTTTCGAAGAAACTCGACCACATGTTATCAAGTGAAAAGAAGGTAAAATACTGTTATACCGACCCTTTGTGGCAAAGCTATTGAGATGCTTGGCATGATATCATTACAACTCCTTGATACATACACACATCATCATCATGCGCATCACACGCGCCCCATATCTCACATTGATGATACCTTTTGCTGCTGCTACCCACAATCGGTCCAATAGATCATGAGTAGAGCTGGCAAGACACCAGTCTCTAGAAAATGGAGAAGTGGGGGTGACTCCAGGCAACTGAAGCCCAAGAGACAATGTCCACAGTGAATTTCCCTCATCCGTGCTATTCTCTACTGATAGTTTCGGACACTTGTTAGTAATCTGTAGATACTGCACATTGGTACAGTACTTTATACGTATATATGTAATCATCATCATCATCATGGAAACTCCTCTTTTAGCCAAAAAAAAGGTCTGATTATCAAGACGATGCATCTTCTAGGTAGGTAAAGAGTCCCAAGGCCCGCATATGATGTTAGAAAAATTGAGACATCTAAAAATAAGAGCAGCCTCCTTGTCTCGGCTATGCATGCATTGCATATCCTTATTAAACATGTAGCTAAAAAGCCAATATGTCCATATCAGTCGATATGCTCATTTCATTGAGATCTGCCACACGCATCAGCAGAATTCAACATGTGTCTAGGACAAAACGGTAGATCACCTATAGCGGGCAATCATGGGAAATTTTGTGTTGCGTTTTGAGTAGCACGGGTCGGACCGAGTACATGCATGCATTTTGTCTTCATGCAACAGTCCAGATTGGCTGCCTAACGTCAAAATGAGGGGCTTGACATCTGATTGATTAATTTACCCTAGACTTTTTCGATTCATATTGCTAATTTTGGGGACGGATGCTTTTCGATAAGTCTTGGTATCAGGTGGATTATACTTGCTTACATTTTTAATAGATGTAGGTTTCATATAAAACATTTTCTCTGAGACCCATCACACTGGTATCACTTGCAAAATCCTCTACTGCGCGCAATTGCAGATAGTTCACCACCCAAATGTTTTCCCAATTTCCCATATATTCCCACATCAGGCTGATAAGACGGACAAACCACCTATCTACCTCTCAATTCTCCGAAATTCATTTATGCCGCCAAAATCCGCCAAGCCGCGCCCTATCTACAAGTACATTCTACTCCCTCTTCCCGCGCGCCGTATTCAGTGCTAGATAACGAATCCCCCCCCCCCCCCTTTAGTTTTTGCCCCAGAAAAAAACT